AACCCCAACCCCAACCCCAACCCCAACCCCAACCCCAAACCCCAACCCCAACCCCTTAATCTATAGATTGGTTACTTAGTCCACTTCCCTCAACCTCGAACTACGCACTTGTACGTGTCCTTTGGCATCCCTGCTATAAATAATAACTACTTAATAATAACTAGATTACCACTCCGAAATGGCGAAAGAATCGGGTTCCAGCTCCAACCTCCCAGAGTCCGAAACTGAAATGCCCCATATTGGTGTATTGTATTCCCACGATCCGGCCCTCAATCTTGGGGTCGGTCTAGCCCAGTAGTCTGACTCTGGCTGAGGGTTAGGAACCTCCTCAGCTAGCCCTAAACCTCTTTGCGCACCAGCTTTCTCTAGTAGCATGAGAGATTCTGTCTTATTCAGCTCCCTTTCTTCATCGAATTCATCTTTGGGCTTCTGCAGCTCAGCAAAGTCAAGTGGTGTCTGTCCTGCTTCGTTGATAATGGACGGATCAGCACCCGACTCAAGTAGCAACCAAACGACCTCAGAGCTTTCTTGCGGCTTGGGGGTCAGGCCCGCCCATCCTCGATACGAACTACCAACGCCTTGCATGTATCCGCGGAAATTGAGGGGACTCTTTGCCACGGCAAGGTGCATAGCCGTCCACCCATTAACGTCTCTCAAGTTAAGGATCGCCTGAATATCGGAACTTGTGAACTCGCGCTGTTTCAGCGCATTGATGAGTTGACTAAGTTGCAAAAAATGCCCTACATACGCCGCGTAGTGCAGAGCTGTCCACCCCCGGGTATCTTGACTGGTGATATCGATGCCCGTAGCTAAAAGTGATTGTAAATCAAAGTCCAGACCACCCGCGCATGCTATGTGTAAAGGTGTTAGAAGAGACTTATTTACTAATAACGGATCAGCGCCCTTCTCCACAAGATACTGAAAAATATCAGTACAAAATGGCTTATCCTCAAAGCAACGACGAGCGACATCATGGAGAAGCGTGTTGCCAAAACTATCTTGGCTTTCAACATTGGCACCAGCTTCCACCATTGCTTTGATGGTACTGTGTCGACCACCCTGCGCACAAAATATGGACAGAGATGATCCTCTGTGTCTAGAGTATGCCGAGACATCTACCCCTTTGTCTAGAAGAAGGCGTACCATCGCCTCGCACTCGCATTCACATTGTAGATAGAAATCGCAGTCATGCCAGGCGGCAGTGTCCAGGACACCATAGTTTTTTCGTGAACGAATATTTATATCAGCTCCTTCGTCAAGTAGCAACATGACAAGGTCCAAGTGACAATTTTCAACTGCCACGATTAACGGCGGAGTCAGAAATTCCTCCTCCCCTGCTGAGATAACCTCTGCCTCTGAGGTATCTACCTCCTCTGCCAAGATATCTACATCTTCCCCCGAGATATCTGCCCCTTTTCTCAGGAGAATGCGGACGATTCGCATAGCACCTTTGGAAATCGCATAATTAAGCGGATTACTGCCCCGGTGCTTCTGATTAGGGTCTGCTCCACGACTAAGTAGAAGCTCAACAAGATCCTCACACCCCTCCATAATTGCGATATGTAGGGGAGGTAACTTCGGAAAAATCCCCCGTTCAACAGGGTCAATTTCCACGCCCGCTTCAAGAAGGTATTGGGCCATGTCCACATCATGGTTCTTAACCGCTCCCCGCAGTGTTAATGGTTTCTTTGATGGTAATATAAATTTCGCGTCGGTTACTTCAAGGAGGAGTTTTAGTGTGTCGAAGAAACCACCTTCAGCGGCATGGTGTAATGGTGTCCACCCGTTCTCATCAAGCGCAAGGGGATCTACCCCCTTAACGGCAAGAAGTTTTGAGAAAGCCATGGATGGATAACCTACGGCTGCTGCAGTATGTATAGAAGAAGCTCCCGTATGATCCGTGGCCATTAGAGAAGCGCCTGCAGATACAAGAACCTCTGATGTCGTAGCGTGGTGATTAAATATCGCATGATGTAGGGGAGTTAAGCCGCGAGCATCCCCGGAAGTTGGATTGGCCCCAAGGCTGATTAGATATTCAACTAGCTCGGTATAACCATTCGCGGATGCTAGATGAAGAATAGTATGCCCGTTATAATCTATTTGGGAGAGCTCTAATCCATAGTCAAGGAATAATCTAATTATTCGCTTATGGCTAGTAGAGAATCCTATAGTTCTCTTCTTGAATTCCTTGTAGGGCCAGTTGGGGGGTTCCATACTTGTGGCAATATTCATTAGGGCAGTTTGCCTATCCTTATTCTGTTTAGTAGGGTCGGCTCCGTTATTCAGAAGATACTCGACGGTAAGGTCTTGGCCATGGAATGCTGCATAATGAAGTGGTCGCCATAAGGAGCTATATTCAGGTTCGTTGAGGGAGGCGCAATATCTTGTAAGAAATTGTAGTAGGTCGATACGGCCCCAGCAGGCAGCGGCATGGATCGCGCGAATACCCAAGCTGGATTCACAGAACGAAAAGCTTATATCTGGCGCTTTTGCCCTAGCTCCAGCATCAACAAGAAGAGTATATATCTCAGGAAAGTGCGACACAATAGCATTATTCAATGCTTCGGTACCATGCTTTGATAGGTTCAACACATGCGCACTGTCTTTTAATATCATCTGGCAGATATCCAGGTGCCCCTTCTGTGCAGAAAATTCCAACGCTGATTGGTATATTTTCCTCTTCAACAACCCCTTGCCCATGTTTAACAAGTGTAACAACGTCTTTGCCATTTCCAGGTGACCTTCGAATATGGCCCAGTCAAGAATAGTTTTCTGTCCTTCCAAGCCGATAGTAACACCGCGAAGCGCCTTTCTCAAGAGGATGGGGGTCAGGGTGACGTTAACGCGCTTTGCAGTCCTGATAAGAGCACTCAGATCCAATGGATCTAGATATTCTCCAACAATATTGAGTATCTCAGTCGGAATAGTGTTGAGGGTGCAAGGTAAACCCGCTGCCCGGGCATCATCTCCGGTGGACTCTTCGGTTGTTGAGTTGGCCATGGTGAAGGGAGCGACGTATCGATATTATGTCGAGGGCAAGGGGATCTCCTGCGGAAGCCTTGCCAACGGTCGAAGTGAACACCGAGAACACACCAGATCAGCAGCTGATTAGGGATAATATGGAGTAGTGAGTGGTAACTAGAGGGCCAAAGGTAGCTACGTCTCGACATGAATTTCCAGCCAAATATCCCGCTGTCAAGGAAAAGATCGATGTTGTCAACTACTTACGTACGTTATAGTAATAATGTGTCAATATCCCAAGCTGAAGTTAAAAGCCGAGAAAAAGCCGAAGGAGCGGAATAACTTAGCACCGAAAGAGCCGAGATGATATAATCAGCTATTGATAACTTTTTTCCCGCGTTTGAGTCAGAAAGGGTGTATTCTGGGGTAGAATATATATCAATCAAACAGTTACCAGCGCTATTAAGAGGATAATCGGTAGGCTTATTATTCTGGCTCATACTGGGCTACTCTGTATCAATTGATGAGATGTGCAACATCGACGATATAGGAAACGGGACGCAGCTGTCCATATTATCACTTCTCTGCTGGCGGTGGTTGGTTTTTCGGCCTTTTTTGCTCTCTTCCCCCAGCCACCCGCGCCCAGGTTGCGCTTACCATACCCGTTCTCGCCTCTTACGCACCTCTCGATTTCACAAATACTTACCTCCATAAATTCATGATATACCTTCAAGCACAGCTGAAACGCGATAAGGAGAGAAGTACTGCATTCGTTGCTATTGGGAAAATTGCAAGCGCAGTAGGCCATGCCATCGGGCAGTTCCTCGATGGAATTATCATATATATCCGTGAAGGTCTGGCGTTGAAAGCGTAAGTGACCCTCCCTGCCTCACCTAGTAGACAGTGCGCAAGCTAAGAGAAATTATAGACGGAATCGCGCCGCTGTTAATGAAGGCCCGATGTTTGAGTGTATCAGCATGCTATCCCTCGCTGTTGGCCAAACACTCAGCAAATACATGGAATCCCTACTCGATCCGATCTTTGCTTGTGGCCTAAGCAAATCACTTACGCAGGCGCTTGTCGATATGGCACACTACATCCCACCCATCAGAGCCACTATTCAAGAAAAGCTACTGGACATGCTTAGTATCGTTCTATGCGGAACGCCGTTCAGGCCTCTAGGGTGCCCGGAGAGCCGGTTACCCCCTATACCCTCGTTTGCGAAGGACTTCAGCTCTTTGCCCCAAGACCGGAGCGACAGTGAATTGCCCTCGCATTGCATACACTCGGTAGCTTCGACTTCTCAGGTAAGCCCCCTCCCGCGACAAGGACTTGGAAGCGATATGCTAACAGTCGTTAGGCCATGTTTTGAACGAATTTGTTCGAGATGTTGCCATCAAATTTGTTGAAAACGACAGCCCCGAAATCAGAAAGGCGTCTGCTTTGACGTGCTGCCAGCTTTTCGTACATGATCCGATCATTAACCAGACAAGCGCCCACTCAATCCAGGTTGTTAGTGAGGTTATCGATAAACTATTGTCCGTTGGAGTGGGCGACCCTGACCCTGGTATCCGACGCAATGTGCTGTTCTCCCTCGATAAGAAATTTGACCGCCACTTAGCCAAGCCAGAAAATGTCCGATGTTTGTTTCTGGCCGTTAACGATGAGATGTTTCCGGTACGGGAAGCAGCAATCAGCATCATCGGCCGCCTCTCGAGCGTCAATCCCGCCTATGTATTTCCGCCTCTAAGGAAGTTACTCGTCAACCTGCTGACTGGCCTCAGCTTCGTTACCACCTCCCGACAAAAGGAGGAGAGCGCTCAATTAATATGTCTCTTCGTATCGAACGCCACAAAACTTATCCGCTCTTATGTTGACCCAATAGTAACAACACTATTACCTAAGATGTCAGATGGAAATGCTGCGGTAGAAGCGACTTCGCTCAAAGCCATTGGAGAGCTAGCAACCATAGGTGGCGAGGATATGAAACAATATCTTCCCCAACTCATGCCTATTATCCTGGATTCCCTACAGGATCTCTCCTCCCAGGCTAAGAGAGAGGCAGCTTTGAAAACTCTCGGTCAGCTAGCGAGTAATGCAGGATACGTCATCGAGCCCTACAAAGAATATCCACAGCTACTCTCAATTCTTATCAACATAATTAAGACAGAGCAAACTGGAGGTCTACGAAAAGAGACGATTAAGCTTATTGGAATACTGGGTGCTCTTGACCCATATAAGGATCGGGTAAATATTTCATAAATTTCTATATTAAACATTCCATTCTAACTCTACTACAGCAAATCTGCGAAACTTCTCCTGATGTTCATCATATCAACGAAGTTCAAGCGGTTTCCGACGTCTCCCTTATCATGCAAGGCCTCACCCCCTCCAACGAAGAGTACTATCCCACCGTTGTCATTAACACCCTTCTCCAAAACATCTTGCGAGAAAGCTCTCTCGCTCAATACCATTCCGCTGTTATCGACGCAATTGTTACGATGTTCAAAACTCTCGGCCTTAAGTGTGTTACATTCTTGGGGCAAATAATACCCGCGTTCATATCCGTTATCAGGAGCACCCATGTCAGCCGGCTTGAAATATACTTTAACCAGTTGGCTATCTTGGTAACGATCGTTAAGCAGCACATCCGTGCATTCCTCCCAGAAATAATTAAAGTTATTCGCGACTATTGGGGGTCTCCATATCCCGTGCAATGTACGATATTATCCCTGGTGGAGGCCGTTGCCAAATCATTGGAGGGTGAATTTAAAAAATACCTGGCTGCACTTGTGCCCTTGATGCTGGACACTGTCGAAAAAGATAACTCCGTCAGACGACAGCCTTCCGAGAGAATTCTTAACACATTCCTAATTTTCGGCTCGGGTGCCGAGGAATACATGCATCGCATTGTTCCAGCTATTGTCAAGATATTCGACAAAACCCAAAATCCGCCAAATATCCGAAAATGCGCCATTGAAACACTGGCAAAGCTCTCGAGGCAGGTCAACGTATCGGACTTCTCGTCACCTACGATACATCCGTTGTCCAGGGTTATAAATAATGCTGAACGACCGCTCAGACAAACTGCATTAGATTGCATTTGTACGCTCATTTTCCAACTTGGCCAGGATTTCAATAATTATGTTCCCCTTATCAACAAGGTCCTTAAATTCAACCAGATTCACCACCACAATTACCACATTCTTGTTTCAAAAGTACAGAAAGGAGATCCGTTGCCACAGGACCTCAACCCCAATGAATACCACAGCAACCTTGTGGAAGACTCAGCATTCGCGGACGTATGTCAGAAGAAGATATTCGTTAACCAGCAACATCTTAAAAATGCATGGGACGCTACACAAAAGCCTACTAGTGAGGACTGGCAGGAATGGATTCGACGTTTCAGCGTTGAACTACTCAAAGAATCTCCATCTCATGCTCTCCGTGCCTGTGCAAGTTTAGCCGGTATTTACCAGCCGCTTGCTAAAGATCTCTTTAACGCCGCTTTTGTTTCCTGCTGGACCGAGTTGTACCATCAATACCAGGAGGAGCTGGTTCATTCAATAGACTTGGCTCTGACTTCTTAAAATATCCCTCCCGAAATCCTATAAATACTTCTCAACCTAGCCGAGTTCATGGAGCATGATGACAAAGCCCTGCCAATTGATATCCGAACCCTTGAAAAATACGCTGGTAAATGCCACGCATTTGCGAAAGCGCTGCATTACAAGGAGTTGGAATTTGAGCAAGATCAGAATTCTGGTGCCGTGGAGGCGTTGATCAGTATCAATAACCATCTTCAACAATCTGATGCTGCAATTGGTATTCTCCGTAAAGCCCAAGCGTATCGAGATGTGGAGTTAAAGGAGACTTGGTTTGTGAAGCTTCAGCGATGGGAAGAAGCATTGGCTGCATATAAGAGGCGAGAGTTGATAGATCCCGACTCTTTTGAGGTTACCATGGGTAAAATGCGATGTCTTCATGCGCTTGGAGAATGGAAAATGCTTTCAGATTTTGCACAGGAGAAATGGAATCAAGCTTCAAACGAGCACCGCAAGGCAATTGCGCCACTTGCTGCAGCCGCCGCATGGGGAAGAGGCCAATGGGAGCTTATGGATTCATACATCGGAGTTATGAAAGATCAATCACCAAATCGTTCGTTCTTCGGTGCAATTCTCTTTCTCCACCGCAACCAATTTGAGGAGGCCTCTGCTCTCATCGAAAAGGCCCGAAATGGCTTGGACACCGAACTCTCTGCTTTGTTAGGCGAATCATACAACAGAGCTTATAATGTTGTTGTCCGTGTTCAGATGCTTGCTGAGTTGGAGGAGATAATAACGTACAAGCGCAGCGTGGACGATCCTGAGAAGCAAGAGGCAATGAGGATAACATGGAATAAGCGACTGCTGGGATGTCAACAAAATGTTGAGGTGTGGCAGCGCATGCTCAAAGTCAGGGCCCTCGTAATCACTCCGCGTGAGAATCTCGATATTCGGATCAAATTCGTCAACCTTTGCCGTAAATCAAACCGAATGGGCCTTGCAGAGCGGTCTTTCAGCGCCCTTGAATCGGTAGAGACGTCGGAAGGTGGTATTCCGCCTGAAGTGACATATGCCCGCCTCAAGTTTGACTGGGCATCAGGGCGGCAGGCTGAAACCCTCCAAGCACTAGAAGAATTTACTATCTCTCTCACGGAATCATACGGACGATACAACTCAATTCTCTCAACCCACGATGAGCACAACCCAGCCGAAGGGCCGTCACTAACCAACGGCATCGCTGACTCTAACCATACAGATGTCGGATTTACGAAGCAACACCTAGGAGATGCCAATAAGTTCCGACGACTTCTTGCGAAGAGTCATCTCAAGCAAGGTGAATGGCAGACCGTTCTACAGCGCGGTGATTGGAGATCCGACGGTGTCCGCGATGTCCTGAACTCGTACTCTGCAGCCACCCAGTACAACCGTGATTCATACAAGGCCTGGCACGCATGGCCTCTGGCTAATTTCGAAGTTGTTAACTCCTTAACATCACAACCAGACAGGGACGCTCCCCAACACATCATTCTTGAGCATGTTATGCCCGCAATACGCGGATTCTTCCGGTCAATTGCACTCCTATCTTCAAGTACATTGCAAGATGCGCTCAGATTACTCACACTTTGGTTTACCCATGGCGGCGACGGAGAAGTCAATGCTGTCGTTGTTGAAGGCTTTTCTACCGTGAGCATTGACACTTGGCTCGAAGTCACTCCCCAGCTCATCGCCCGCATCAACCAACCCAATCTCCGCGTTCGTGCTGCTGTGCATCGTTTATTGGCTGAGCTGGGCAAAGCGCATCCGCAAGCGCTAGTTTACCCCTTGACTGTCGCAACGATGTCCAATGTCGTCCGCCGTTCCCAGTCCGCAATGAGCATTATGGACAGTATGAGAGCGCATAGCTCACGGCTAGTTGAACAGGCTAAAGTCGTCAGTGGTGAACTGGTGCGTGTTGCGATATTATGGCACGAGCTGTGGTATGACGCCTTAGAAGAAGCGTCCAGACTCTTCTTCACAGACCATGACGTCGAGGGTATGTTGTTGACGTTGGCCCCGCTTCATGATATGCTAGATAAGGGTGCAGAAACCCTGCGAGAGGTATCCTTTGCTCAAGCCTTCGGCCGGGACCTAGCTGAGGCAAAACACTTCTGCAACTTATACCGCGAAACCGGAGAGAAGGGAGATCTCAATCAAGCGTGGGATCTATACTATAATGTATTCCGCAAAATCTCCCGACAAGTGACACAGATAAAATCCCTTGATCTGAAATACATTTCTCCCAAACTCAAGGACGCCGTTGACCTCGATCTTGCTATTCCCGGCACATATTAAAGCGGAAAGCCCGTCATCCGAATTCGAAGTTTTGATAGCGTTGCATTTGTGGTCCAGACAAAGAAGAAACCAAGAAAGATGATAATTAGAGGAAGCGATGGAAATTCATACATGTATGCGCTCAAGGGCCACGAAGATATTCGACAGGACGAGCGAGTTATGCAGCTGTTCGGATTGGTCAACACACTTCTAGACAACGATAGCGAATGTTTCAAGCGCCACTTGACGATTCAAAGACTCCCTGCCATCCCACTCTCACAAAACTCCGGATTGATCGGATGGTGCTGCAATACCGATACTTTGCATGCACTCATCAAGGAATACCGCGAGAGCCGCCGCATTCTACTCAATATTGAACACCGAATTATGCTTCAATGGCTCCTGACTACGATAACTTAACGCTCGTGCAAAAAGTGGAAGTGTTTGGCTATGCAATGGACAACACTACCGGCAAAGACCTGTACCGAGTCTTATGGTTGAAGAGTAAGAGCTCTGAATCATGGCTTGAACGACGTACCAACTACACACGCTCCCTAGGTGTCATGTCGATGGTCGGATATATTCTTGGTTTGGGTGATCGACATCCTTCGAACTTGCTTCTTGATAGAATTACAGGGAAAATGGTTCATATTGATTTCGGTGGTTGCTTCGAGATCGCGATGCATCGCAAGAAGTACCCAGAACGGGTGCCGTTCCGACTCACCCGTATGCTCACTTCGCGATGGAGGTCAGCAACATCGAGGGTAGTTTCCATATTACCTGCGAGGTGGTTATGCGTGTTATTCGCGAAAACAAGGAGTCTCTAATGGCCGTCCTTGAAGCCGTAAGTTATAATTTACCTTTTCCATACCGATGCTGAATGACGGGGCCACTAACATTCCTTAACAGTTTGTCCATGACCCATTGATCAATTGGCGTCTGGGTGCCCGCGAATCGCCAGCTCGACTTTCTATCGCGGATCGGCGTCCGCCTACGGAGGCTAAATTGGATAACCCCATTCAACCGAGTGCCTTCTCCCGACGCCGCCCATCAATTTTCGATGGTGGCATCCTAGATGCCCAACAAGGCATTCACAACGAAGGACGTGAAGTGCAAAATGCTCGAGCTCTTCAAGTGCTCGGAAGAGTTAAGGAAAAGTTGACCGGCCGCGACTTCAGAACACCCGATGAACTCAATGTTAGCGACCAGGTCGACAAGCTTCTGGTCCAAGCTACGAGTGTAGAAAACCTGTGCCAGCATTATATTGGATGGTGCAGCTTTTGGTAACCTGTAAAGAAGGCCTTCATGGTCGGTTTATGCTCGCCAAATTTTCTTCCCTCGCCCTCACTTTTAACTGCTCCTGCCGGTGGCTGTCACACAGAAAGACGCGGAGAGAGGAAGACACAGAAACTAAGAGAACGTGAAACTTGCCTCTTTGATCTTCAGTATAGATACAAAAATTGGCTATCCTTTTTAATGGGATTTTCAAGCCCTGATACTTGGAAAGTCAAAGTGGGTAATGTGCGACTCTATCCTCGGCCACAGAAGGCCCGCATCGTAGTTTATTCTAATATTATGGGCCTTGGAGTATGTGCTTCAGGCAACTGGAAAGCGAGACAATATCGCCGACTCGTATGCCGTTGTTTGGACCGACAAGGGTGGCACCCTTCCCAAACCATTCTCTGGCAAATACTTAGCCATAATTGGGTTAAAATATGTTGATACAAATAACGGCCTTCCATTCCTTAAAGAGAAGAAAGCCTTAGATCACAGGGAGTTTATCATTGTTTCGGGTGATGATGATATGGTGTTTGGTAACCAAGGGGGAGGGATATCGCTGTTTATTGTATTGGATATGTGAGAAACCGGCTGATAGCGGTCGCCATGGTGGCATTGCTGGGCCAATATCACCCGAAACTAGCTTTTTGGATCCCGCAGCATTTGGAGACCCATCAAATTGGGCCGACAATGGTATTATACTACAGTTTCCTGCATCCGTGGACTTAACTACTTGGGCAAATACAGAAGACGCAGGCGCTGGCCAGGTGCCGGACACCCTAGCCACCAATCTACCAGCATTTCCTCCCTATGGTGATCCGCTATCCTGGGGTGGGATAGTGGGTGGAAGCACTTAAGTCACCAAGATATGGTCAAAACGTGCCGAGTGACAGATCTTTTCCTCATGTTAAGTCTATGAGGTACCTTCATAAGTATTAGTAATTCCAGGTCAAGGTACTAGCACCCTTACGCATATGGGTAATTCTAGAGATGCCAGTCACTCAAAGAGTACTAGGCCTCTACGTGATCCTGGTAACGATCTTGGTGCGTTTTCCTGGCGATGTTAATATCATTGTTTATTATAGGGCACGGACACTGGGAAGTTGGGGTCGGTGTAATGCTTATCGGTAACCATAGATGTAAGAGCTTACTTATACTTTACAGTAATCCATAGTTCAATATCGAGCTTACAATGCATTATTAGATTTCCAAGCTTACGCATGGTCAGCACTAGCGTAAACTACTGGAGTTCTATTCCTTTGAGCTGAAGTTAGGGTATATTACGCCGAGGCCAGTAGTAATACATGGAGAATAGGATAATCTGAGATACGAGATATTTGATTGATTTGATTGGTCAGGTGGGTCTGGAGCAATCTATGAGATTTCAATCTATCAAGCACTGATCATCTAAATACACGATATTGAGCTCCTATTTATGTTCCTCATACGGCCATGTATCTTGCCATCGCGGAGATGCCAGCTACAGCTGAAACAGGCGTTAAAACGCCGGGCGTAGCATTTGTTCGATGATGGAGAGCTGACACTGATATTTAATGAAACGGCGTAGTTGACTAACGTGTTTCGTACGATCAGGCAGTATTACACCGAATCTCCGTTCAACAGATAACATTCGCAACCATGGCGCTTTTCGTCGTCCTTTAGCGTGAATACATGCCTCTTTGACATTCTAACAACTCCAACATTGCTCGAATCATGACAACTACAATTTCGAATGGCACTGCTACGCCAGCCATTAATGGTGTATCGCATATCTCCAACGGATATGAAGCTATCGATCCTGCGACGGCCTTAAAGACTCAGGAGAAATATCAAGAAGAGAGGAAAAAGCGGCTCAGGCCGGACGGCCTTACCCAATACATCAATCTGGGAGATACCGAAAAGCCAAGTTATACACGCTTCCTAAAGGATCCTTGGGATGATGGATCAACCGCATCTCTGACGCTGAAGGAAAATGACCACTTCAAGTTTGTGATCCTGGGCGCTGGCATAACGTATTCCACCAGTCAACGATCATCACCACTTAATGAACACACCCCAAAAACTCTGCATCCACCAAAACAACCACCTTCCAACAGCCACAAAATGGTTAAAGAGGCAGTAATTGCTGCTGCGATTAAAGATTTAAAATCACAAAAGACTCCTAATTACTTATAAACCGCTAAAAAGTTTAAAATTAATTGAATAACGCTGGCGCGGCGGTATTAAGGTACTATAGTCTTAAGAGCTAAAGTAATATCTATCTATCACAAAAAGTTAATAAATATATAAGAAGAAGTGCTCCTATAGCATATAAATTGATTATTAGAGAGAGGCCTATCACCTACGCCCTAGGTACTGCGAAATCTTATATACGAGCTTACTAAATAGGCTATTAGTATTAACTAAGTGGCTTAGTTCTATAGCTAGTATAAGGATTATATTAAGAGTCTCTATCTCTATACTATTAATCAATCTAGACATATTGCTAATAATTCTAAGTATTTTAAACACTTTTATAAGCTTATAAGTACTTATTTATTAGTAGTTAGCTATTAAATATTGATATTAACCTCTTCTTTAGTTTAGGGAAGCAATAAATAAGTATAATATTACTCCAGATAATATTTATAACTTTAATGAGAAAGGCTTCCTTATTAGCCTAAGATATGCTATTAAATAGGTGGTTCCCATTCATGCGCTTAAAAATAGAAGGATAATAGCTATATAAGATGGAAGTCGCGAGTTTATCTCTCTACTCGCTGCTGTCTCTGTAGATAGAGAATAGATTCCTCCTACACTTATTTATGAGGGAGAAGGTGATCTATAAGACACCTGGGTGGATGAATTTGACCCTTAGAGAGAAATAGTATATTTTGTAGTATCTCTAAATGGCTGGAGTAATAATAACTTTGGTAAGGAATAGCTTTAAATATTCGATAAGCATATAAAGGCAAAGGCTGGCCGGGGAAGAAGGCTTCTTATTCTAGATGGCCACTTATTTTATATTAATATGGGATTTATTAAATATATAGATAAAAACTATATCTTGCTAGTTATCTTACCTCTATATTTAATACACCGTCTGCAGCCATTGGATGTTGGGATATTTGGGCCATTAGCTAGTGTATATTCCCAGGAAGTTAATAATCTCTTACGCAGCAGATATAGGTATCTATCAATGTCAAAGTGAGACTTTTAGAGACTCTTCTACGCTGCATGGAAAAGAGCTCTTACACCAGTAAATATTAAGTCTGGATTTGCAAGTATAGGGATATATCCTATTATGCCTCAACGTTAAATAAAATACTTTGATAAGAGACCTCTAACACCTCCGAATATTGATATCGAGCCTCCTACCCCTATTACTGTACAGGGTCTCCGCCGCGCGATTAAGAAAGTGCAGCTCCGGCAGTCATTAACCAGCCTTTATATATCAAAGATCATCCGCGCCAGTGAGAGGCTGGTCTTTAATAAAGAGATCTTACTATATGAAAATAAGTCTCTTATAGCTACACTTATATAAGAGAAGAAGAAAAGGAAGCGAGGTAAGGGCTTAGGCCTATTTAAAAAGGATAAAGCAGGCCAAGCGCAGATATTCTCTCTATCTAAGGTTGAAGCAGCAAGGCAGCGAGCTATTAAGGTAGAGACTAAAAAACAAGATAAGATAGCTTAGGCAGAGGAAATAAAGCTTTAGCGATTAATTTACCGCGATAATAAGACTCGAGAGGCTATAGAGAAGAAGGCTCAAAGGCTTACAGATTAATAGCAACGTAAGGAGGCTCTTAAGAAGGCCCGCAAGGAGACTGCAGCACGGCGCGCAGAGGCAGCGATTGAACGGAAGCGTAAAGCTGGTGAATTGGAAGCTGAGCGAATGGCTAAGAAGGCCAAAAAGGCTCAAAACAACGTCTCAAGCCCTATCTCACCTTCCCGATTAGGAAAGAAGAAGACTTCACCTTCTAAGGTTGCTCCTATCGATCCTATTGCTCTAATACCCAATTTCCTATCCCAACCGCGGGGAACCCGTTCCGGGCAAGTTATCAAGCCCAACACTCGTTTCTTTTCTTAATCTATCTAATTTGTATGTAAACTAGAACCCTACTATCGTTATTTAATAGTCAATTTTATTTGTTATTTACGTTGTGTTGAGATATCTCGATATTTACACGCATGTTTGGACGTAAGGAGCATTTGGAGGTGGTGATCGTTGACTGGTGGTGATCGTTGACTGGTGAGATACGTTAGGCGGCCTGTTGTTCGCGGTGCGGTTGATTGATGCCGGATTTCAACCAGAAGATATTGTCATAGTCGACGCTGCAGCAGGATTCGGTGGGGCGTGGTACTGGAATCGGTACCCTGGTATCATGTGCGATGTCGAGAGTTACATATACATGCCACTGTTGGAAGAAACAGGATACATGTCCAAGCATAAATACGCCTATGGCGAGGAGCTTCGGGAGCAGGCGAACCGTGTTGCGCGGCAATGGTCTTTGGACGGCCGAGCCATGTTCCGTACCGTCATCAGTCAATGCACCTGGGATGACAACACCGCCGGGTGGACTGTCAAAATGACCCAAAAAGCCTTCTCGGGAGAGACAACAACGGCGAGTGTGCGCGCCGACTTTGTCATGTTGGTGCCAGGACTGCTCAACCGTCCGAAGCTGCCAAAACTCCCTGGCTGGGGAAATTTCCAGGGTCCGAGCTTCATGACTTCACGCTGGGACTACAATGTCACGGGCGGGAGCCAAGAAGCGCCAGAGATGAGCAAACTGCAGGATAAGAGGGTTGGCATCATAGGCACCGGGGCCTCTGCTGTCCAAGCGGTGCCACACCTGGCCAGGTGGAGCAAAGAACTGCTAGTATTTCAAAGAACGCCGGCATCGGTTGACGTTCGAGCCCAGAAGGCAACTGATGAGAAGGAGTGGAAGCAGAAGATCTCTACGGGACCCGGTTGGCAGATGGCTCGAAGTCGGAACTTTGCATCCTTCCTAGCCAACACGCAGCCACCGGAGCCTGTGGACCTAGTATCGGATAGTTGGACAAGCTTTCCCTCTTTCAGCGTTCTGACGGGTGGAGCCAAAACAATAGGCATAGATGAGATTCCTGATCACGCCGCCAACTTGCATCGGTTGGACATGCCGCGCGCGGAGAGGATCCGAGCAAGGGTTGACGAGCTTGTTCACGACCAAGAGGTCGCCGAGAAGCTCAAGGCGTGGTACCCAGGGTGGTGTAAGCGGCCGGCGTTCCACGACGAGTACCTCCAAGTTTTCAATCTGCCCAACGTCAAACTCGTGGATACGAATGGGAAGGGCGTTGAGAGATTGACTGACACTGGCGTCATGGCAAATGGCAGAACGTATGACGTGGATGTGCTCATCTGGTCAACAGGGTTCGAGCAGGGTGTGCTCGGCAGCCCAGGAGCTCGGTGTGGCGTCAAAGTCATAGGGCGAGCCGGCTTGGACATGGAGTACAAATGGTCCAAGGGAGTAGCCACATTACATGCCATCTGCACAAACGGCTTCCCTAACATGTTCTTCGCGAGCGCTAACCAAGCAGGTGCATCGCCTAACTATACACCTACTCTGGAAACCTTTGCCCGGCACATTGCTAAGATCATCTCTGAAAGTACTCGGCGGATTGGCAAGGCCCAGCCGACTGCCAAGGCGGTCATTGAGGCGACGCAAGAGGCAGAGCAAGACTGGTCCAGGCGCGTCATGGTTGGGGCACCGACCCTAGCGCCCATGGCCGGATGCACGCCTTCGTACTACAACGCCGAAGGATCTTTGGATAACATGTCAAGAGAAGAACAGATGCTTGCGGCGCCGGCAGGGCCCTGGCCGGCAGGGCTGAACAATTTCATGGATGTCCTGGAGGAATGGAGGAGCCGGGATGGCGAGCTAGAAGGGTTGCACGTGTCAGGGGTACAGGTAGACTAGATTGGCTTATTAGTGATACTTAGGTGTGAAGAACTCTTTCTGGTTGATGCTCCTTACAAAGTTTATATTATGCCCCGCAAAGCTTCTGGTGCTATCAACAGCAACTCTCTGCCCGTTCGGTTCAAGTGAAACCGCCATTATCATAGTGATGTCTCAGAGGACCGGATAAAGAGAAAGCCCTGAAGGAAGAAGATGAATTGGTGGTCAAGCTAACTGATGGGGAAGATGAAGCTATCTCGAACACGTGGTCTGGTATGCTAAGGGACCTCCAACATGTTGACATTGTTGACTCCAAATCACTGCAAATCCTCGGGAAGAGGAATTCCACCAGCAACGTCCTCGTTTCTGTTCCCATCCGCAAGCTTGTTCTGTGCCATCTTGTTGTCCATGTCTGACCAGCGGTTACTTCGCTGCAGTTGCAGCCATACATCTTTCCAAACATTCACCGTCGCATACATTTCTGAATGCGGCGCTGGCGTGGCTGGCCCAACCTCGGCGAGAGTAACATCAAAGTTAAGTAGCAACTATTTTCCCCGCTACTGTCAGCATCTTTGCCTTTATGCTGTTGGGGAATAGCTCAAGGGGCAAACAACGACTATGTACTCACCGAAAGCGGTCCCTTGTAGAGCTCCATCATGGCAAAAGGCTTACCCAGACAGACACGCGCGCCATATCCCCAAGCGAGATTGTATTTCTCATATACCTTGGCAGCCGCTGGGTCACCGAGCCATCGGTCTGGGTAAAACTCTTCAGCATCGTCTCCGTACAGATTCTTGTCCCGATGAGCAATCCATGGATTCATCGCCACTTCGGTGCCAGTCGGGACCCGGCGACCATTGACGATTAGATCCGGGTCACCTAGGCAAACCACGCGAGGGAGAAGAGTAGCACCGCTCGGGTTCAGTCGAAGTGCTTCCTTTATGCAAGCGGCATAGAATGGAAGGTGCTGCGACACCTCGGTATACGTCGGGACTGGATAGCTCAGCTTGCCGGCAGCAATGGCATCCTCGATTTCGTTCATGAGGCGCTTGAAAATAGCTGGTCGCGAGAGTACCGAGACCATGAAGGCTGTTGACGCGCTGCCAAAACCATCCGAGCCGGCCCCGAGAATCACAAAGATCTCCGAGATGATTGTGTCCTCGGAGAGATGGTCGCCATCGGGTGTACGAGCGTCCATAAAGCTGCAGACGTGCCAGGTCAGCGTTTGTCAGCAGTAGCCTGGCCGTATAGAGCAGCCAGTAAAGAAAAGGGGGGTATTTACTCACGATTGTAAAAGATCATAGGCCTTCTCTCCTTTCCGAGCCCTTTGGCCGTGCTCCTTGGTGCGCCTGCTACGCTCAGCGAGAATAGCTCCAGCCTTCTCCTTGACAACAGCGAAGCCTAGTTTCTGTTCCGTGCGGACGACAAGCCACTTCTTCAGCCAAGAGTTGAGCAGCATTTCGGTAAAGGGATATATGCGACCTGCTACACCAAAGATGAGCATGCCCACACGGAACCCCTCGATGAGACCGCCAACGTCGGAGCCAGACTTGATGAAGCCAAGAGGATTCCTGAACCCCAAGTCTGTGATGGTGTCATATGCCAGATAATGAGACCAGTGCGAAAAATCCACCGGCTTTTTCTGCTCCACAAATCTTTCATCTATGCTACTAATCCAGTGCAAGATGTGCTTGTCGAGAAGAGGCTCCATTCTTTGAATATTCGCGAGCGCATATGGAGCCCCGATCAGGCGCCTATGCGCAGCGTGTGCACCTGGCTCTCGAAGCAGAATACTGTTACTACTTTTACCAACGTAGCCCTGCAAGTAAAACCGGGATTTGGTGTCCCGACGGTGGAAGACGGCAGGCATGGCCTTGCTATCCGCGATGAGTAACATCGTAGGTGTGACGCGGATTACTAGGCCTTGGATTAAAAGTTGGCATGGATTTCTTTCTTAGAAAAGGAAAACGTGCTTGGTGTTGACATACCATGCTTCTTGATAAGCATCCATTGCGTGTGCAGCTCGGTGCCCCAAAAATGGTGCCACGCCAGCCAAAGCCGGGTGATGCTGGCGAGCCATGGCCCTGGATAGTGTCTTAAAGGATGAAAGCAACGATAGTAGATGATCCGCCAAATAATGTCCACTATGACGAGATATGCCAGGCCGAATAAGGCATATCGTATCAGGTCCCGAGTCTCTAACGAACTTAGCAGACTGCGAGTAGATGAAGTTGTAATGGCCATGATACTAGAGCTTGGACCGACTTTGCCTTAAGAGCGTTTAATATGACATGGAGTTGTTGCTATAAGTCAAAGGGAAAGAATGGTGCAAGAGAGTAGGCGAAGACAGACTTCAGACTCTGTATTCATCAAGGTATGAGTACTTTCCATCTATCTGGTATGACTTGCGCCATATAGCGAAGACTTGGATTACTAGCTTAAACTTTGGCACTAGTCAGCATCGGTTCAATGCTTACTTTACATCTTATATCGGAGCGCGCTAATGATCGGTACGATTGTGGCGTCTCTACGGGACACAACGGAACGGCAAATCAATGCCTATAAGCCCAAGATACAATAGCAAAGAGCGAAAATAGGCCTAATATCGATGAATGATGATGATAACTAGGGAAACAGGCCATATCTGGCCTCTATATATATGGGGGAAGGCGTAGCGTACGTACGAGCCGTAATCAAACAGATCTGCAGGGGGGGGCGTGGCGTTGGCCTGATACTGCCAAGACGCCGTACACACGAAGATTCTGACACCTTGCCTTGCTACGGTGATCCAACTGATTTATAAGCCGCAGTACCAGGCAGTTGTTGAGGCTCGAGGAAGTCGAATTACGAAGGACATCTCGTCGCTTCCATTTGTAGCCCATATACCATTATATCAGGCTATTCCTCTACTAGTATGGCGCCAAAGCACCACGGCAATAAAGAATATTACGCCATCGTCCGTGGACGTGTCGACGAACCTACGATCTTTTCGTCTTTGTATGTCTCTCTATAAAGTCTTGTGACAAGCCACTGATTCCATTGTGCTAGGGGTGATGCGCATCCACGCGTAACTGGATATGGTAAGCACGAATGGTCGGCCTACTCTAAGCTCGAAGACGCACGTGCATATATGAAAAAGATGGGAGTAACGGAACACAAAGAGGTCATAAAGGAAGGGGCAGGAGAAACTACTCCGCTGCCAGGCCAGAAAGCCTTCCATGCTATTGCTAATGGTAGAATGCCTGGCATCTACTCGTACTGGTGGTATGGATCTTCTATACGATTGTTAAGCAGATTGCTAACAGCCTAAAGTGGTGAGACAGAGCCAAAGGTAAAAATGGTCTCCGGAGCTTGCCATAAACGTTTTAGAACACGTGATCAAGCGGAGGCCTTTATTGAGGACTGGAAAATATCTTATGCTGATGTATACGCAAAAGCTGTATACGAAATATTGTCTAAAGACTTCCGGCCGCGAGATATGAAGTTGAACGTTAGTGATCAAGGTGCAGATTTCTGGATGGAGAGGGAAGGTTAAGCTTGGGAATATTGTTATAGGAATAACTACATGTGAAATCGGCGTGTCCCCACTAAACAGAGGCCTCGCTGCTTGGGTTTAACACCTAAGGCTTTAACGGGTCATAGTAGTATTACGAGATATAAAAATGGTATATCCGTTGTCAATGAAATGAAATCATAGAATAAGGCCGATATTAGACTATGCGTGCGGGATAACGTCGATATAGCCCAATTCTTTGCTGATTGATCAACCTTTTGCTCACTCCCGACCTTTCTTTCTACCTTGTGTTCCTGATAGTATCTCAGATAACTTCCACGATTTCGGATCCTCTTCTGATACCTTGGGTTCGTCGTCACTTCGACAGCCGAGCCAGATTGCTCACGTCGTACGCGCAGCTGTAAGGATGATCTAGGCACCATTTATATAGCACGTAACCCGTTCCTGCCACGTCAAAATCGGCGTGGCTTCCAGTCTGGCAGATTTTGAAACGCTTTCTATAACCCGAAGTGGTACAAGTGTAATAATTGTGCTCATTGTTGGCATGGCGGCAGACGTCGCAAAATCCAGCTGCGCCAGAACTTGCAGACATTGTGTGCGCTATCACGGATCTATGCTTTATACCCTTCAAGTCAGCTCAGAGGGTCATAATCGACAGGTATTCAAATCGCACTTACTACAAGAACTGTGAACCGTGGCTCAAGCAGGGCCTGAGACAAGATGGTGGTGGCATCCTCAAGTCAAGCTAGGGTATGTGGACTCATATACATCTCTATTGTTAACTATGTGACATGGCATTGACTCCCTTACCAAGAGTGCAGCCTAATCTTCTCGCGGCACCCTCACCAATTTAGAGGACGCCTTGCCTCGTTAGTTTTTTCATTAGTAACTAGATAACTAACTAACTTTTCACGTGATGCTGCTGGACCAGGAAGCCGTCGAAACCAAGCCTTGAGCTTCATTCATCCAACTTCCAAAGGCCCCACGATCACGATGGACGACGCTGTACGCCCAGCTGTCAAGACACGGCGTGCTGTATTTGAGAAAGGCTTTCGTGTTTGGTCAAGCCTTTACAATATCGCTGACAAAGAGACGATTATACCCGAAAGTTGTTTCTAGGTTCAAGGGATATTTGCACATCTGCCTCACTTTCCTCCAGATATAGATCTAAAAGATCGCCATGGCAGTCTGTATGCGACGGGAACTTCGATTTGATCAACACATGGGCCCCAAGAGTTCCCTTTTCTTGAAAAAACTCTTGATATTCCAATCTTAATAATTAGCCCGACTGGTCTCACGCTCTCTTCTGACCCTAACCTGGACTATCGGAATTGGTTTGGTTGCGAAGAGGACCATATTTCCGTGCTTATACTCGCCTGGTCCTATATTCTTTCAGCTCGCTGGGCGGAGCTGATGTCAGGTTCCGTTCTGGGATACACTGGTAGCCAGCCAACCCAGAATGACGGCGACCAGGATGCCATTTTTGTGGATGTCGGCGATGTCAATAGCGAGGCGGCAAGGTGGTGGGCGGCTGTTTTGGCCCCAGGGGAGGGCTGGCGGGCTTGTATAAGTTCGGACGAGGCCGAATATAAATCCCCATGGTCGATACTATTGCAATCGGGCCCAGGCTTTAGGCTTCCATGCCATGGATCACACCCTCTGATGTTAGCTGAGGCCATATCATCTGCCACTGCCCTTTATTACCTTTCGGAGTACTGCAACCTCCACAACGCTATGGATCAGAGCCACGCAGCACTATCTGTAGCTCTAATGCTTCCTCTCTCAAACTCCAGGGGGTACTAGATTCGCCTACTAACACCTAAGCTTAGATATGGAGAGAGTTCTGCATTGAAAGCGAGGACACAAATCGACCATAAGTGGCTACAGACATCCCGCCATCTGGACAAGCTACTTGTTCTAAGCTGCAGCACTAGAGGCGTACAGTCATTGCTATCTAGCGTCTTCTATGATCCCGGCGTAGCCTGTAATTTGGTTAGCCCATGGCTATAGGCTACTTTTGCTATCCTTGACTCCGTTGACGATAACTGCCTTGTACATATTATGACGAGAAGGGTTCCACGCCTTGCTTTTCTATGGCTTGGGGCAATTATAACGTGCGTTCATGGCGACGTTTTGTGAGATGCACGATTTGGTCTGATCCCGGTGGAACTCCACGCGGCTATGTGGACTGGAACTATCCAATCATTTATACAAGAGCCTATACCTCAGCCTCCAGCTGTGGGGGGCAGCATTTCACGCGCAAATGAGTGTCGGCTTCTGTATCTTATGCAGAAAGAATATCATACTCGTTGGCCAACGTGTCAGTGGACGCCGTTTGGAGATACAGGCCTTGAGGATACTGATACGAGTGTCCGCTCTTATGCTAAGCATATTCGATGGGAGCTTATATATGTGGGGTGGAAATGGGCCACCCGAGATGGCAAACTGGTTCATCAAGTCTGTGACAAGGGGCTTACACCGACTTTTCCCGAATCACCGCAGGAGCCACCTCATATCCCCATCAGTTATGATGCTCTTGATCTTGAAGAGGAGTTGGCGTCAGAGAATGCTACGCGAAACATATTTGGCTGGCTACGGTTTGAAGGGTTCCCCGGGAACGAAAAGGAGATATACAGTCACGAGTGGTTTGACCTTGGAGATTCGGACAAAGAAGCGTTATGTGGAATATCTGAGACTAGTATCAGTAACTCTTCTGCAGCAGCAGATGTGGAGGCTTGGATCAATCACAGCGCCTCTTAATCTTCATGTGAAATCTCAATATGAGTACCAATAATGCCCCAGAATCTGGAACCGAGTTCCTCGACATCAACCTATACGATTTTGCAGTCCCTGTACCCAACTCTCAGCCTCTCCCCATGTCGAACGTCAATACCCCTTGAGATAATCACACAAATTCTCGAGAATCTCCCGGATTTGGACGCTAGTATGGTCTTAGGGGGTAATCTGTTGGATTTTCCGTGGCAGGAAAGATTAGTTTCCTAATGAGGCAAATTGGGCAGAGTATTCAAGGAATACTGAAGGGCAGAAATACTATAAGCGGCAATTCCTAATGATTAAATTTCTCTGGGCCACAAGGACGGACTTGAAGGACTCCAGATTAGGAACTTTTCTCAACCCACTTTCCCAATTAGGCAAATTCGATAAAATTTCCTGGAGGTCGCTGGTTTATGGCTTGGTACATAACTGTAACACATCCCGGGTTTGGTTTCTCTGTAATGGATCAAGCAATTCCCCCATTCCCCCATTCCCCCATTCACCCTTGCAACCGCTTAACTAAATATTTCACCGGGGCGACTTTCTCGCTTCCTAGCTTCCCAACAGCTCCGCAGTAGTGAGTTAGTTCATGCCAAGATATCGTTGGGCATCCCTGCAGCGAGGCTTGCCACCCAGGAAGGAAGTATATAATCAGTGTGCTTGAACTTCTATGCGCAGAGTCAGGATGGCTGGCTATGTAAGAATGGACGGTGTTATGGAGCCAACCTTCCATAAACTGGACAACTATGGCGATATTATTTTGGTCTTGGATGAGCAGGATGCTGCATATGAAGACAACGAGGATTTCTATACTCTATTTGAGCTTCCTTCGCCTATAAACGAGGAACAAATTGAGGAGAACCTTCCAGACCCTTCTCTTTATACAGCGAAGAAAGGTCGTAAGAAAAAGGCCTCTGGCATGCTGCCTTGGGAGCATCGTATAGTCGAACCCGAGCCAGTATTTGAAGTTGAACCTGAACCCGAGCCTGAGATCGAACCTGAGCCAGCATTTGAAGTCGAACCCGAACCCGAACCTGAGCCTGAGGTCGAACCAGCCCTTTACTGGCCAGGTGAGAGCCAGGAAAGGACGAACGCCGAGTTTCGTGCGCTGGTGGATGGCAATGAAGCGGACAAAGATGAGTTCGAAGAGATGGGCATTCAGGCCGCAGATAACTTGACTCCACACGGCCTATCTCACTTAGTTCGATTTCAAGTATCCTCTAAACATCTCACACTTGCTTCGCCTGCCTTTGAGATAATGTTGAAAAGAGTATGGTCTGAGGCACACACCCTTAATACCCAAGGATCTGCAGAATTACGCGCGCTTGGTACTACTTTGGAGGCTCTCCGCATTTTTCTGAACGCTGTCTATGGCCGCACGTATGATATTCCATGAACCGTGGAAGTCAGGATTCTGTGCGAAGTTGCGGTTCTTGTTGATTATTATAAATCTTATGATGCCCTTTAATTTTATGCCGACACTTGGATTAAAGGCCTGAGGTGCCAGTCGAGAGAGATGACCCAAGATAATGTTAGATGGCTATGCATATCTTGGGTATTTAAAAGCAGCGATATATTCGAAAGCGTTACTGGGGTTTTACAGCGCCAGGCAAAGGCTCCGCTTCAGGTCTCGAAACTTCTAATCTTGGGTGTCGTGATAAGTAAAGAAGCACCCCTATAGCTCCGATGTTTGAGTGCTAATTGTCTCCCCCTCACCAGACAAGATCAACCGGTCAAGAGAAGCCTGTATTGAGGGCATAATCTCGGCTCTATATGATGTAGTCGAGGACCTTGAAAGTGAGAGAACAAGCTGCAGTTTCGAGTGCGACTCCATGCGCCTCGGGTCGCTGAGGAAGCAATTGAAATCCAGACGTCTTCTCAACCCGCGCCCATCAAGCCCATATCTCGGTTACAGCTTTTCAAGAATTTGTGAGAGCATTCGTAAGATTGGTATCCCGCCATGGTATGGATACGAGAAATATAGTGGATATCAGCGGAGCTCATCTCCCCATAACTGTCGGATCGGGCCAGCTATCAGCTCGATTATTGACAACGCGGAGAACTCCATTGAAGATATAAAAATGGACAAATTTCTTGGTAAGCCGATTAACTAAATACCTGAGCTCTTGGAAGAATACATAATTGCGAGGTCGATGTAAAACCCCACCGTTATTATACACAGGGCGGAATGGATGGCTTCTCCCTTTCTACTTCTTGCTTTGTTGTTTTGTTACTTCTTTTTCTATTTGCTTTCTTCCTTCTTTTCTCTTTTCTCTCTTTCTCTTCTGTTTTTCTTTCTTTCTCTCCTTTTTTGCTTCTTTTCTCCCCCTGACTTCGGTTGTGGCCCTGGTGTTGGTATCCGCCCTAGTTTTATTTCGTTTCTTTAAGTTAGTCCGTTTACCCTTTAGGCTGGGGACCTCCCTATGAGTAATATCCTTCTCCAGCCGTTAGCCTCCTATCTGTTATCTCTCGGGGAATGTACTCCTTCTACCTTTTTTATATCAAGCCCTAAATCTCCCACGCCTGTGTTCTGTATGGTAGGCTGACCCGTAGTTATCCTATTTTCACCGGTAATTATTTGCAACGATATGACCGTTCGCGCTTTTCGCCAAAGTGGTTCTTTCACGGCCAGGGCCCCAAAATTTGTAATCCAGATGCAGGTTTCATCCGTGGGCCAGGCCTGGTATGAGAAATCCTCTGCACCTCTGACCGTTGGGTGCACTATCTCTATCCGCGATACGGCGCTGCCCCAAAATGCTCCTTTCAGGATCGGCTTCTCGATAGCCTGGTAGTTTGTCCTTCCCGAAGGATTAAATTTGTGCGGAGGAGGTGGTGTTAAAACTATGACTGTGGCACCTTGCGAGATGTAGTAAGCAAAGATGGCGGAGGCCACTTTCATATACTTTCTCCATCTGCTTGTCGACATTTTCAATTTAAGGCAAGATGGGTGATTCTTGTCCATCAGCGAACCTATGGCTATACTCAGTGTCTGCATCCCATGCTCCTTGGCCCATCGCTGAGCGCATTCATACGGAACACCGCTCCACATAACTTGATGATTCTGGGTACATCCACGGAGGAGCTTCTGAAGAATCTGCACCTCCTCCTCGACCGTTAAAAGCTCATATATAGGTCCTAGGCTCACCAATCGGTTCTCTAGATCAGCCTCTTGGGCAGTCGATAAGCCACTATCCATTTCCTCGGCGGATTACTTTAGGAATGTCCTGCCTGTAGCATAACAATCTGTGTGGCTAATCTTGCTATGATCGAGAGTGGGTGGCCAGAATATATACTATAATGAGGAAGGTTTGACATCTGACGTTATCCGAAGCAGTTTCGAAAGTGGGCCGTTGTAGGCTTTTATATAACCTGGTACTTTCAATCAATAATCTAACGATTTTGTTCAACGCTCCCCTTCTTTGCTAGGGATTCAATAAATATATACATACTGTAGCAACTGAGCTACCCGTTTCTGCCAGATGTTTTTCTGTTGATCAGTGTGCGTGCTAAAAATAGTCAAGCGTTGGAGCATTTAATCCCAGTACCCCACCCTCGACCCCGCCTCATTCACCTGCTTGTTAGTCAGCAAAATCTTGCTCATTCTCCATAGTGCCCTTTTCTATTCTTCGAGTAATAATATTATTATAATGGCTAAGAAGAAAAGTTCACGCCCTTTAGGTCAGAACAAAACTTTCAAACCAGCTCCCTCATCTACTGCGATGGTAAGCTTAGCATTTTCTAGGTTCTGAAAGTGTTCTACGTAATCTTAAGTTCAGGGAAATGTAACTGATTATCTTGTGAAGTCCACGATTCCACAGTACAAGATGGAGGCCGAAAAAAATACTTATACGTTATCCGGTAGTCTCAAAAGGTATGGGACGACAACTTATAGATGGCAGGTGGTTGACTCTTCTAGATACTTTGCTTCCGGTCAATTCGCGGATCTTACTATTCGGGCGGACGGTGAGGTATTCAAAGTCCATAAAGTAGCTGTCTGCGGCCAGTCTGAATACTTTTCCCGCATGTTTAGCGGCGAATGGGAAGTATGCAGATATCTCGCATCTGTGAATTTAAAAAGCCTTACTAACTTCCGGCTGTTAGGAGACAGTTAATAATGAAGTTGAGCTTAAGGAGGTGGAGCCTGATGCTGTCGCAACTATCATCCATTTTCTATATGGATTTGATTATGATAGCAGCGGCAGCAGTGGCGCTCGTATCTCTCCCATGTTATTCGATGCGCAGATATATGGGCTTACCGAAAAATATGGCATTCCAAGCCTGAAGGAGCGCGTCAAGGAAAAATTTGCCAACTCAGTTCGCGCCTGCTGGGATATGGACGACTTTCCTCTAGTGATTGAAGAGGTCTATACCACGACCGCTTCCGCAGATCGAGGTCTTCGCGATTTGATAACTGGAACCTGTCATGAGCACTTCTCCGAACTCTTGCAGAAGGAGGGATTTATACGGGCACTAGAGAGCTGTATATACTTTGCAGCAGACCTCGCGAAGCAAGGGTCACAACCTCTGCCGAAGTACCGATGTCCCAACTGCAGTAAGGAGTGGGTATGCAGACCCATCGGGAAATACTGTATGTTTTGTGGGACATCATACTCTAATTGGAGTAACTATGTCGTCAAAACATCAAATAAATAGGAATACTTGCCCCCCGCTTTACGGCACATTCCAAGGAACCAGGCTATAATGGAAATTCCCCTTTGATTATTACTTTCAAATTACTTGATTAGGAATTGGGAAATTGCCCAATTGGGTAAATTAGCAGAGCATGTACTTCTTCTTCTTCTTCTTCTTAATTTAATGTCCGACCCAGCCGCTTTCCGCAGCTATGCAGACGGTCTAGTGTAATCTATCGTACATACAAGCTTTGATATAGTATACATTTGGTGACTGAGGTCCTCGAGGGTTCCCCCAGCCCGTGTCAGTTCTAAAATACCCTATGAACTCAATACTTCGCCTTAAGTTAAGTTGGCCTCTGGTATAGCTCTAAATTGCCCGAGGAGCTTAGTTTGGATTATAAAGTGTGCGGCTTTCTTTACTTTAGAGGGGGTGTTAAGGATTTCCTGAATGTCTATCCTTATTATTCTACCGTCCTGTTCCCAGATTTTTCGTCTTAAGTTGTTAAAGTGGGAGCACGTTAGTAGGACATGTTGAATGGATTGTTCCCCCTGTCCGCACTGGCATGTGGCGTCGTTTACATCAGGTACGTGTCTTTATATGAGAAATTTGCGTAGTCCTATTTTTTCCGTCCGCATTTGCAGAGCATGTACTATCGAAGGACGATTCTCTAAAGGGCAGAGATATTTACTCCACGCGGTAATTCCTAGTTCGGTAATCGTACATGTTACCTAAACAAGCAATTAAACATGACCTAAAGTAGTAGAAGGGGTTCCTTAGGGGCTTTCCTAGGTTAGGAGTAGAAATTCCTGTTTGGGGATGCCCAACCCGCGTTCCTAACTAGGAAAATTCGAGCAAAGAGGAAATTCCCCGAAGAAGGAATGTAGTAATTATATATAGTTTTCTAAACAAATAAATACACATATAGAAGAATAATAGAGACAAAGAATCTATGCGTGAAAGTACAATCTATCAGAATTATTGGCCGTTTAATCTAGAATAAGGTGGTTGGCGCCTTGGCGTGTAAATCTTGGTGCGATTGGCCTGTTTCCTCCTGTTAAAGCGGAATTACCGGGTGGGGCGGCATATATACCGCCCAACTAGCACAGCTCAACAGCGAACGGATTTTCTGACGAGTAGGGGGATTCAGGGCTCTGAATACTCTTCGCCACGTTGGATTGCTTAACTAGTTATCCAAATCCCTTAACAATGTCTTCGTCGCGCCTTTTACGTTTACCATTAGAACTATTAGACCAAATCTTAGAATGTCTATCAGAGAAAGCTCTTCTCGCCACATGCCACGTCTGTCGCAGACTCCAACATCACGCCCTACTGCTACTGCACTGTGCATACGGTCCAGGGCCTGTTCACCGTCGTGAATGCATCTACATCCTGGTGTACGATGGATTAAATATGGAAAAATATAGCGAATTGGATTCAGCGGACCCGGATGAGTTGATTGAGAATATGTTGTGGACGTATGGACGTCCGAATAGTTCCTTTGATAAACAAACTATCTGCTTGTTGGCTGTTCTGATTACATAAAACCTTTCAGCAGAAGCATGATGCCGATTCTTGGAAGGAGGCGATGGCCCTAGCTTTGACAGCTCAGGGTCGACATGATGAAGCCACCGATTACTATAACTCTCTTAGTTCCGAGAAGTCCGAGAGTGATAGGGTCCGCCTTCGACGATTCTCCGCTATGTGCCGGTTTGGTCCACTAAATTTTGGCCTTGCAGAAATTTTTGGAGATATGAGTCTGCGTAACTGTATGAGCTATGCTGCTACACGCGGAGACCTAGCGATTCTGGCCTATCTATATGACAATTGGGGTGTTGAATGGGAATATTCAATTAGAGCCCTAATCCAATCAGGGCATCACCAACTTCTCCGTATCATGCACGACCACAACGGCGTCGATATATTAAGGGAAACGTCCAAACGGAACATCGAGCGCGCTATCGAACACGGACATTTGGAGACCATCAGCCTCCTACTTAGTATCGGCCTCCAAGTCGGTACCGCGGATGAGGATTCCCCTCTATTAGCAGCATTAAACAATGGTCAGATAGCTATTCTTAATAAAATGTTGGAGCATGATGCGAGCTGGGCAAGCTCCTGTACCCCCAATGGAGAGCTATTTATTCCCATTATAAGCCGTCGGTGGAAGGACGACTCTTTATACTATCCCATAGTCGTGTCGTTCCTCGTTGAGAAAGCAAACGTCAATATTGATGCTATCGATATTGAGGGCTATGCCATAATCTATTACGCGGTTTTATATAATATTATACCACTTCTTAAGGCAGTACTTGAAGAGAATCCCAATATCAACCTTACTGATAAAGAGGGCCATACGGCGTTACAGCTAGCCATTGAAGCAGACTTGCCTTATGCTGTCACCCTCCTCCAACCTCCTGAATAAAATGAATGTACCCAGAATTGTGGGCCAGTATAGCAGAAAATCGGTAATGGAGTCGCAAGAAAAAGGAGTCGCTAAATGTTATTCTAGTACATAAACTTATCCAATAGATTCACTAACACGTTGCTATCCGCTATTTGCCTATAGTAGTAAAAGCCAACTAAGCTTAAGCGGCTATATCAAGTCTACCATTAAGCGATTAAACACGCCCTAGAAGAGGCACTCTTAGAAACTTACCCGGGTTAGGAGTAGAACTCCCTGATTTGGGGTGCCCAACTTACTAGATTAAGACTTTTTCTTAACCCATATCCCTAACTAGGAAAATTCGAGCAAAGGGAAAATTCCCCAAAGAAGGATAGATAGAGTGCTATAACGGAAATGCCCAATGTGGTAATTATACATGGTTGTCTAAACAAACAGAAGATAACTCGCAACTCGCAAATACACAAAAATGGAGAGTGACTATAGTACAGGTGTTCTACCCCCGGAGTGGTACTTTGTGGGTTTCGAGGGTATGGAGCTTGAACGCCATGACGCTCGAAGGGAAGACGGCTATTCTATGCGTCCAGCAGAAGCTGCAACGCTTCGTCCCTGACGAGTACGCCTGCAGCTCCTCCCTATGAACGGTCTTTTCTACATGGTCCCACAGCTTGTTGCGTTTCCAGATCTTGTCGCGAGCTTCTGACGGGAGGCGCGGGTCGGCCGCGCAGAATGGGCACTGGTGAGGGTTTAACTCCAGCTTCTGGGAGAGGGGCTCATCTTCCATTGTCGTCGCGGGAGTCGTGGCAGGCCCCGGCTGGGTTGGAGCCGGAACCGGGTCTTGGGGGGAATGGGATGTTGGCAGCTTCCTCGGGCGGCCTCTCCGCTGGGGTTCCTTCCGACCCTGCAGCTTCATCCAGAGCTCGATGCTGGTGCGGGTCCGCGCGAACCGCTCTTCCTCCGTCAGCTCGACGCCGATTTTGCACGTCAGCTCGGCGATCTGTCTCCGTTCTGCGATCTGGAGCTCCGGCGGGGGAGGAAGGCTCTCCTCACCGTCACCGCGGATCCGCCGGTTGAACCTCTCCGTGTCGGCGTCGCGGAAATGGCGCTTCCTGGCGTGGTTGAGAAGGTGGGCCCTTGCTTTAAACTTCCAACAGTTCAGCTTCGATTGGATCTCCATCTTCTCCCGATACAGACGCGTCTTTCCCCTAGACGCCTCGACGGTGGGATAGCCTTCACTCTTGATCTTCTCGGTTAGCTTCTGATTCTTCTCGGCTAGGCTTCTGGTTGTCGGATGCTCCGCAATTCTTTGGCTCATCTCGTCGGTAAGTTTGGTGGGCGCGGTCACGTCGACATCCAGCAACATCGATTGAGCTACGTCGCGCACTTCTTTGTTGGATGGGACTTCCATAATCAGAGCCTCTGTGTCCGCACGTATCTCTTCATCAAGGTAATATTTTACCGTGGTGTTCTGTATGTGATCCGTGACCTGGTTTCGAACGGTCTCGTGCACCTTTCCTGGTTATTAGAGACGGGTTAGCAGCGGTCACGCCGCGGCTCGATCATGCTTCACTAAGGGAAGGGGATAGATAGATGGAAGGCGACATATGGTGGAGATGCGAATAGCCAGGAGCGATTATCTGCCTTGAGAGGACTTACCGTTAAGGGCGTTGATTGCGAGACGCCGAATCCTGTATTGACCGAAAGAGCATTTCAACCCGGCGGCGAACCCAAGCCCCTTCAGGTCGCGGCTGAACGTGGTAGCCTTTAACGCCATCTTGGATGAGGTACAGTATCCGTTTTCTGTCTGTTCGGGGTTACGGAACGTTGGCAGGTCCAGTTTCTCCCTCTTCATCTTTAGCTGCATGCCAGGCCTGTGGTTAGGGATCTCGTGCCAGTAGATGTCTTCTAGCTTCCTAAACGCCACTTCAAAGACTTCATCTTTAAAAGCCATCGAGAAGAGCTGTCCGAGGAGGTCGAAGAGAGGCTCGGGGTTATGGACTATGGTAAATATTTTTCTAGCGACCTCAGTCAGTGAGACAGTACATGATAAATGGGGTACGGGGAAGGTAGCAGCCGCACACTGGGTGATAGGTTCCATCATCGCCCTTGGTGTGAAGGAGCGCTATCTTCGCAATCGGTATGTTTGGTCGGCAGGGCCGGGGGTCGCGGATGATGTGGAACGAGATGTGTCTCCACACGATGGCCCCCGTCTCCTCCGGGCCCGCGTTATAGCCGTCATCAGTAACGCTGCCGTCGGAAATAAGGTCTGCCACATCGAAGCCCTCCCCTGCAACATTGGAGCCGTCGGGCGCAAGGTTAACGGGCCCACGGCCGTCTTCCACGGGAATCCCGGGCCCTTCGTCGATCGGGGCCGTAAGACTGAAGGCTTCGCCCCTGGAGCCGCTGTAGGCGGAATCACTGAAGACGGAGTCTCCAGAGCCACTAATTGAGGTGGATTCCGTCATTTCAAGGTCGATATCCGAGTTGGGGATGCTGGCACGCACTGTGCCACGCGCTGCCCGTGCTGGTAGCGTCTTCCTGGCCCTCTCCGGTAGGCTTGCTCCTGGACCGACTACTCGCCGCTTGGCTTGGGGTGCACATTCGTCGAGCCATGATTCCACTCTTGAGCGGTGGCCGGCTGCACTTTTCCTCGAGGACGTGGGCGGTATCTCGACCGAGTGTTCCGGGCTCGCCACCCTCGATAGTGTGGAGAGAGTGGCCGCCGTTTGCGTCTGCCCCGACGACTCCCCCTTGCGGGTGTCAAAGAGGGACACTAGGCGGGACGAGGTGATGCAGCCAAGTAGGATTCCCGCCGATACCTGCAGTCGCTGCCTCTCATCGGGGTATACTTTCTCGCATCGGGTCCAGTTGGCGACAAGAACTGTATATACCACCTTCTTGTTCGCCGTCTCCTTCTGCTTCGGCGGAAGGAGCCCCCACTCCTTGACCAGCTCGATGAGAAACTACCTTGGTTAGCCTGTCCGGCAACGGCGTTCTGGACGGCGGAGGGGGACTCACGGCATCAACGTCGGCCTGTATCGCCCTGTCTACCGATCTTTGCGTAACTTCCAGGTGGAACATCATAATACGGCGCCAGTAGCTACCCGGGACAGAGTCTCGTTTGATGGATGACCCGTGGGTCTGCCTCAGCCAGCTGAAGAATGCCTTCGCGTCGGGAGCCTCGAGCGTCTCGACCCACTCCCTGGGTGTTTTGTTGTGTTCCCTGGGGCAATACCTGGACGTCGGCGTTTAGCGAGCCGTACCTGTCGAAGAAGGGGTTGACTGGCGGGGAGGAGACCTACTGTTCAAGTTTGTTCATCACCGTCCGTATGCCGATTGTAGAGTTTTCCGATCGCTTCCTCTTTGTCGGTCCTGCCCGGGCGAACTGCTCGCGTACTTTTGCGAAGTGGCCTCTCGGGAGGCCAGTGTCATATGCGCGGTAGCGGCGGCCAGAGCCCCGTCCGCGTTGGATGGTCATGGTGCTCTGTCGTCAGCGAGGCACGAATAGGCCCCGAAGAGGGAAGATGGGGTATATCAACCTGGAGACAGGAAATGGCACCTTGCAAGGCGTGTGGTATAAGATGGGTGGGGATGGGGGAAGGGAAAGTGACTGGCTGCTGGGAACCGTCGAGGGAGAGAGGTAGAGGGAGGGTATCTGTATTTATATCGATGGGGAAGCCACCCTTTCTGGCGGCCGCTCCATTTTTGGAGTTGTGACGCCAGGCGGTCCCATGCTAACCAGCCCATCGCCCTAGGCCTCTCGAATGCAGGTGAATGCAGGGGAATGAGGGTGAAGGAGAATTTTGGCGCAGGGGTTGTTAGAAGCGGCGCCTGGAGGGAAGGGTGGTGACCCCACTAGTGTGAATAACTGAGTAAGCTAGGGTAAAGGCGGCGGTGGAATCTGCCGTATCCGGTCTAGTGTCCGTGCGCCCACGGGGCCAGGAGGGCCAAAAGCGGCCGCAGAAACTGCCAGATTCGGCCGTCGAGAAGCCATATTCGGCAGTCAAAACCCCTATATGTGTATACTATAGAGGTAAAGGGGTATTTAGTAAATATAGTATAAAATAATTAGAATAGTACTTTATATTAAGTAGTATAGTAAAATTATAGCTAGTTTAATTATAAGTATAAAACTTTTAATCCTAAAGAAATAAGCGTCTTTATATATATAGTATATCTAGTCCCTTCTTTTTAACTCTTCTTAAGTCCTATTATAGATTTAATATTCTAGTCCCTTTATAGACCTTTTATATTCAGTTCTATAGGGACCTGCCTCTAGCCTTAGCACCTGGGACCTGCCCTTACAGTCACGTGATATATAGTTATTCTATTTTAGAATTTTATTATCCAATAAGTATATAACCTAAGGCTATGTTATAGATAATCTATAATAAGTTTAATTACTAAATAGATATTATATTCTCCTAAGAAGTGTTCTAGTTTAGTATAATCTCCTTTATAGATATTAGGTTTATAAATTTTAATAGTAGTTCTTTTATCTCTTATTTTTACTCTAAGTATATTAATATTATTTTTATATTCTTTAATTTATACTATAGTTTATTTAATAGTATTTTTATAGTTTTTAAGTAGTTATTATTATTCTTCTATCTACTTATTAATTTTATCTAATTATTTATTATTAGGTTGATTATTAATTCTTTTTTCTAATTTAATAATTTTCTCCTTTATTTATATAAGTAGGTTATTAATATTAGTAGTAGATCTATTTATTAATAATATATTAACTTATTCTACTTTAGCTTTAAGTATATTTCTATAGTTAGTATATTTTTAGGGGTAGGGTAATATATATTTAATTTATCCTTTTTAATATATAATTATAAGTTACTTAGGTTAAAATATCTATAATAATATAATAGCTCTAGTAAGTTAGAATTACTTTTACCTCTTTATAACTATAAGTTAGGGTAATTAATATTATAAGCTAATAGTGCTCTTTAATTACCTAAAAGTAATTAAAGGTTTATATCTATTATAGGATAGAAGATATAAAGGTCCTAGGGAAAGCTTAAGTTAAAGATAAATTATTATAGAGAATAGCTAATACTAGAGTAAGATATAATATTATAGTAAAACTATCCCTTAATTCTAAGTATAGCTTTAGTTAGTACCTTAGTTAGATAAAGGCTAAAGGTTCTTATAAGTAGTAAAGATAAAATTAATCTATATTAATAGGTAAAGAGGTATTTAGTAAATATAGTATAAGATAACTAGAATAGTACTTTATATTAAGTAATATAGTAAAACTATAGTTAGTTTAATTATAAGTATAAAACTCTTAATTCTAAAGTAATAAGCGTCCTTATATATATCTTATATATTAATTATACTAGCTATATTAACTATACTATCTAGTATATCTGCGCTAGTATAACTAGTACTTACTTTTCCTACTATTTTACTATGTATAGATATTTAAGCTAGCGAGCTAGCTAGTACTAGGTTCTTCTATTCTGGTTGCTTTATTCAATAAGTATATAGTCTAAGTGTTACAGACCACCTGCGGCGCAGCCCCAGGATATACACTCATTGGACAACAAGATTCCGGGACGGAATAACTACACATCACGTGACCATAAGGACAGGTCCCAGATGCCAAGACCAGGGACAGGTCCCTATGGGACCGAACATGAAAGGTCCACGAAGGGACCGGGACATCAGGTCCACGATGGGACCTGAGGAGAATCAGGAGGAAGGGACCGGATATACCATGTATATAAAGACGCTCATTTCCTCAGGATCAAGAGTCTTATACTCGCGATCAAACCAGCCACAGTTTTACCATACTGCTCAATACAAAGCACCATTCCAGTTGTCTTATACTATATTCACCGAATACCCCTTTGCCCATTGACGCAGGTCAACTTTGTCTTCACTGCTCACAAGGACCTTCAGCCTTCATCCGACCCAGGCACTGACTGAAGCCACACTTGGAACTGAGGGATAGTCTCGCTATAGTATTCTATCTCATCCCGGTACCGAGCCGTCTCCTACAACGACTCACTTCCAACCCAAGCTTTCCCTAAGACCTTCGTACCTTCTGTCTTACGGCAGGTGTGAACCTCTGATCACCTTTAGGTAATCAAGGAGCGCCGTCAGCTTGTGACACTAAGGCTACGCCGTAGACGCTCTATAACAATACCCCAAGGTAGATCATGTACTACTCACGTGGTATTTATATATATATACACTATAGGGCCGGGTTTTTGATCTATTCTATCTCGACTCGGCGAGTATCTATATTATTCTATACTTATAAGTGTTACAGACCACCTGCGGCGCAGCCCCAGGATATACACTCATTGGACGGGAGGATCACGGGCCAGACCTTGAGGGCACTAGTCACGTGACCAATAGCGATAGGACCGATAGGACAGGCTTGGCAGCTTCCTATTGATACTATCACAACAACCAATAGGAGTAATAGGAACCCCTTGGCGGAGAACTATTGTATCTATCACTAGATATATACTATATATATAAAGACGCTTATTACCTTAGGATTAAGAGTCTTATACTCGCGATTAAACCAGCTATAGTTTTACTATACTGCTTAATACAAAGTACCATTCTAGTTATCTTATACCATATTTACTAAATACCCCTTTGCCTATTAACGCAGGTCAACTTTGTCTTTACTACTTATAAGGACCTTTAGCCTTCATCCAACCCAGGCACTGACTAAAGCCACATTTAGAACTAAGGGATAGTCTCACTATAGTATTCTATCTCACCCTAGTACCAAGCCGTCTCCTATAACGACTCACTTCTAACCCAAGCTTTCCCTAAGACCTTCGTACCTTCTGTCTTACGGCAGGTGTGAACCTCTAATCACCTTTAGGTAATCAAGGAGCGCCGTCAGCTTGTGACAACTTCTAGTATTTATTAGACGTTCTTTTCTCTTATCTTAGCTTAATAATCTTAAGCTCTAGTTTCTTAATAGTATTATAGATATTATCTATTATATTTATTATACTATTAAATTTTATTTCTAATTAGGAAAAAGCCTCTATACTAGTATATCTTTTTCCTTTACCTCTTTTTCTAATTATTCTATTAGAGTAAAATTGTACTATAGTTACCAGTTTATATAGTAAAAGAGATATATTAATATTAATATATAATAAAGACTTATTAGAATAAGGCTAAGATATAAAGGAATACTTAGTAGTAACTAATATAATATTATAATTAATATTATAACTTACTTTATATATTAACTATCTTTATCTATTAATTAGGTTACTTTTACTTTTATTACTTATAAGGACCTTTAGCCTTCACGCTTATAGCTACTAACTAAAGCTATACTTAGAACTAAGAGATAGCTTTATTATAGTACTCTATCTTACCCTAGTACTAATCTATCTCCTATAATATATTAATATACTATAAGCCTTTTAGGATTATTCCTTTTATCCTATAACTATAGCTTGAACCTTTAATTACCTTTTGGGATTAAGGAGAGCTAGACTTGTTATACTTTTACTATATCTAAGAAATAAAAAATTATTAGACACAAAGTCTCTCCGTATCGAGCGATTAAATCTCATCCTCTAAATATAAGGACAATTTCCTCTTTCCCTAAGCCTAAGGAATGATCTCGAAACGGCGGAAGTTAATTATTAAAATACGCCTTAGCTCAGAACCCCATAGAATATTCTCATGGTGGATATCTTAATGGCGTACTCCTGAAGCACGGATCTCTATCTTTGATAGCTTAACCTAATCACGTAATATTTTAGAATACTTATGTCTATATGTATTCTGCCCTTCCCAGCCCACGAGCAGCGTATGCTTACTCGAGCCAGCCCATGTAGATAAGTCAATGGCTCCAAGAAACATTGCAACTGCGGACCCCTAAACTTGCGGGGATATAGTATATATCGTCCTCGCGTAAAACCCCCCGCCGGCAGAATAAAATTGTGCCTTTTCTGTGTATCCATACCGGCAGCGAGTAACCTTGAATGGCGCACGGTATGAGCCACAAACGCCGAACGGGGTACGATTATGGTTCAAAGTCTCGTCTAGCTGTTGCTGGAGTATGCCGACTAGATGCTCCACATGAATATAATGCGGTCACGTGTAACCAAGGGTCTCCTTGGAAAGGCACATATCTTGTAACATTAGCTGGTTGGCTGATGGTGGACGAAAGTTATCAATAACACATGGTGCAGTTTATTGGTGGTAGAAAACGTCAGCAGCGCAATGCGCAATCAACAAGAGGCTGCGACATCTCACTCAAGAGGGTTCTGGCCCTTCTGGCCCTCTTTCCTATATTTTTCCCTCCCTCATCGTCTATTCCACTCACGGCCGCCGAACGCTTCACAGGTTTTCTATTTCTTATAGGAGCGATCGGCCTGGAGCGGTGGAAGTCAATTATCAAGGCCCGTCCTAACTCTTTATTCCACAGTATATTATTAGGCCGTAAGTCCAGATGATCTACCCCCATGGCACGGATCTGCTTCTTTAACCGCTCGACCTCATCATGTAACTCTCGGGACTGCTCCATTATACTGGTGTCCTTTCCACCCCAGCCTATGAGCAGCATGTGCTTAATTGACCCCGCACCGTGCACATGGTATACCATTTTCAGATCAATGTGCCCAAGAAAAACCCGGACTACGGAACCTTGAACTGTGTAAAGAACACAATAAACGTCTACTTCACGTCGCACGTCATCCCAGCGGCGGGGCGTTGTACCCTTCCCAAACACTATATAGCCATACTGGCGGCAGGTAATCTTAAACGGTTGCCCGTACGAGCCACAAGTGCCAAACGTCGTGCAGTCACGGTCCAGAGGCTCATCTAGCTATTGCTGGATCAGGGCCACCAGGCGTTCCGCATCGATAAGATGCTTCTCGCCGTCCGTTGATCCGTGTCTCTCCACATTGGGGCATTTTTTATCAAGGTTTTGGCTCCGCTGGAGGCCGAGTAAGCATTTCTGCATGCAAAACGCGGTGGTGTACTGCCTATGGCCTCCCCGATTTCTCAAGTCTCCCTTTTGGCGCCACGGCCTTTGACTAGGTAGAGACGCCGTGAGCTCGCTTAAGTTTCACTTCCGTCCAGGAGCCGCTTGCTGGGAGTCGGAGTCGGAGTCAGAGTCCCTAGGCTCTAAAGGACGTGTGGTCGTGCTTCAAGGCGCGCAGCCAGCCTGGGATCGAGTGATAGGGCAATAATTATCCGCCGTCGGAGAGCTCAAAGAAGGAGAGGATAGTACATATTCCGAGCTCTAAGGAGTTTAGTAGAGCTCCTCTTTAGGGATCTATACTCTAGCGTATTTAAAATCTATTTTCTATAACCGTGATTATTATATTATATCATTTTACTAACTATAATCTTAGAGTAATAAGCGGTAGCTTATTAAGTAGAGATATAGTACCCAAGTAATGGCGGTTATTAGCCGTAAAATCTATATCTTACTAGGATTAAACTCTATATTAGGTTTATAGAGGTAGTAGTAAAGTATACTTAGCTTATTATAGTATATATAAAGTAAGATATAGGCTAATCCATTAGTAATATATAAGAATTCTAGTCCTTTAGTAATTATTATATAGTATTCCTAAATAAGAGTTAATACTATTATCTATTCTATATTATATATTAACTTTATATTTTCCTCTATTAGGATTATTTCCCGCTAGACTACCTCCTCCTATAAATTTATTAATTAAAGACTAACGCGGAGATACTTAACTAGTAGCTTATAAAGCAGTTTATACTTAATGGTGGTAAATAGTATAGAAATACCGTTATCTACTTAATAAATATAGAACTAATCTAATATAGAGCGCTATATATTTAGCTAATATAAAGTATTTATATTATCCTCTTTATTAATAGTATTAGTATAATTTTTAAACGTGACTCCTACTTTAAGAGTAAAGTTATTTTAAGCCTCCGAATTCTTATATAGTTCTATAAATATATCCTAGATAGGTTATTATACTATAAACCGCGTATAAAACTCTAAATCCTTCTTACTATTTAATAGAGGATATCTCTATATAATACCCTTAAGTTTGATTAGGGGAGAAAACTATCTATTAGTTAGCTAGAAGTAGTAGTCGACGCGGCGGTAGTATTTATCCTGAATTTCTAAATAGGCTAACTAAGGGCGAAGATAGGTTAGGTATAATTTCCCAGTTAGCTTGCCGATTGACCCTTTGGTGGAAATAGCGCTCTTTTGGAGCTTTGTGGGCAGAGATAGCAGAATATGGCAGGCTCGGATGAACTCCTCAAACGATGTAGGCCGGTTGCGCTCCTCTGCCTGTCGCTGCTGCTCTTCTGCATTTGTTGCTCGCTCCTCCGCCTGTTGTCGTTGCTCCTCCGCCTGTAGAAAGAGAGCTCTATAATCTAGCGCATCATCGGAAGCCATCGAACTCGCACATCGATGGCCTGTCACTTATGCTCTCTATTGGTAAGTTGCGGGCGATGGTAAGGGTGCCGACATTATCAGATCAGGGTGCCGGAACAACAAAGGTGCTGACACAATCAGGGCGCTGACATAATAAAGTCTCATTTATTCAATCTATCCTATCTGCCTATAGTGGAATTTTCATATTACAAACCCCCATGCTCTGAGCAGTCACGCGCTGACTTGCTCTCCTTGGAAATTCCCAATAGACGTGATTATGGAGCTATGCAAAATACCAGAGGCTAGAACCGAATTTGCTTGTGGACCGCGGGCCCTAGTAGCGGGAATGATCCGCCGCTGATATCTTTTGGTGCCCTAGACAACGCGTATTGCCGTTTGAGAAGAAAAACGAGGGACGGACCTAGGACTTCTTGAGGATTGTTTGATACGCCTACCAGTCTCTCTCAGGCAGCAAGCCAGATCGATTGAAATAGTCATCTTCTTGTCCGCCACCACCTTGTCAGCTACATATGCCAAGGCTATAACGAACGAAACATGTCTATTTTTATAGATTGGCCACTGTTCCATTCTGGAAACTCACCCGAGTTCCCTCTACAGAGTACCTCCTGCGCCTCAATACTTCCCCTCTTATCGCCTGCTACACTGCATAACTACGATGGTTCTAGTCAAGAGGTAGAATAAGTCCTCTACTAAGAATGTAATACAAAAGATACAGAGAGCTGAATATACCTTCAGAAACAACAGATCCTTAATAAAGGCAAGCGTCAATACCTATATTTACCTTAACTGCGACCACCTGAAGAGGAACTACCTCACCTTAACCTATGTCCAGAGGACTAAATTAATAATCGAAGAAGGACGCCGGCACCCCTTGATAGACCGGGTAAGATTCATCTCCCAAATTCGGATCCCATTCTGGGCATTCAATCTCCATTTCCTCCTGAGGATACACATCCCCTACCCATAATAGACCAGCCTTCATCCAGCCAGGATACTGCTTCTCGCGCCCATGTGAGCCGCCTGAGCCGTGTAACGGCTTTGGAGGATTGGGTTTTGGGGGCTTATGGCGATCAACTGCCTTTATATAGGGTATTGGCCGTTTGGGAGTGAGTGTAGGGCGCTTAAATAGTTGTTTGGCCTCCGAGACATCCTCTGGGGCGTCGATAATAGAGTGTATTACTTCATTATCAATCACAAGGCAGATTGTATCATGGGCACCTCGAGAGAACACCTCATAGGCACCCTGGTTAGATAGCTCAATGTTCTTGAAAAATTGTATAGTGAAGTCGTCGCGGACTTGGTCTATGGAGAGGCTATCGTATAGGGCAGCATCATCCATGTACCAGAGCCGTGGTGCTGCTGCCCACTTTCCCCGCTTTATACCACTTGGAGATGATGAGTTACTGAGATAATTCTCAAGCTTGGAGGTAACAGAGTCCCAAACAGCATTCGATTCGGGTGTATAGACAGTTCGATAGACGAGGAATCCCCAGGGCTGCGCCTCTGGGTCTGATGCCGCCATGGTTGTTGGTGGGCGATAGGTTCTTCTGGCAGGGCTAAATAATTAGAATGTAGCGCTGGAAGAAGAGTCACGGCCTGTTTGACTTACTCGACGATACCCGATATCCTAGAAAATACCCTCTACCGGTCTGCGAAGATAAGCGATAGATAGATCTTGACTGCCTAGGACGTCTTCAGATGATGGTTTGACGATGAACTTCCCCTGCCCCTCCTTAACCAACCCCAAGCCTTAGCGGTTAACAAGTATACGGAGCGGGCAGTTTTTTGATTCGCTAGTTATACGTATATGTGACCACTACCCCTACTGAGTCACCCACTCATTTTACCGTGGGTGACTCGCAGTTCAAATGAAATCGCAGTTCAACACAAATATTATTAAATAAATCAATATACTCTTCAATATTACAATTCCTCTACCAACTAAGATGCCTTCTTCATATAAATTAATAGAGCTTGATATTAAACAGGCTGTACGCGAATATCACGAAAAAAGCGACCGCGGAGAGCGCGTTAATATTACTGCGCTTGCAAAATTATTTAATGTGCTCTATCATCGGCTATATGCAAGAGTCAACGGAAAACAGTCAAAATGCGATCGAAAAGGACCTAATCAACGGCTTGATGAAGCTCAATATGAGGGTATATACGAATTCCTCGATCAATTGGATGGCAGAGGTGCTCCAGCTACACCCAAGATGTTGAGGAATACTGCGAACTCGATCCTCGCTAGGAATCATCAAGGCCCCTCACCACCACTAGTTGTATCGAAAGATTGGCCCTATCGCTTCGTTAAAAGGCATCCTGAGTACTTTAAATGCAAGCTTCATACGATTGAAACCAGCCGATCGAACGCAGAGTCTTTCCAGGAGATAGAGCAGTGGTTTTCCAACTTGAATACTATTATCGAGGCATATAGCATTCACTATTCCGATATCTATAATTTCGATGAAATAGGCTTCAGAATTGGGCAAGGAAGAGATAAGAATGTCATATCAAGAACCCCTAACCGCCGGTATACGTTGGCCAGTTCTTCATCGCGTATTTTAGTCTCCCTGCTTAAATGCATTAGCGCGGATGGCATGGTTCTTCCACCAGCCATTATTATGCCAGGAAAGAGGACCATGACTAACTAGTTTGATGGCGTTAACCTACCAAATCAATACCTAGTATTCACCTCTGAATCTAGTTATTCTACTAATAAGATAGGTTTCCACTAGGTTCATCATTTTGCAAGATTTATAGCGCGCAGGGGGGTAGGGGCATGGCGCCTATTATTAATGGATAACCACGGCTCCCATCTCACCAAAGACCTACTTAAATACTACAAGACTTACAATATTATCGTATATTCATTCCCCCCTCACCTTACGCACCTTATGCAGCCTCTTGACCTCATTACTTTTCAACAATATAAGGCTAATCATACGAAGCTTATTAACAGATCTACAAGAGGAGGATTAACCAAATTCAACAAGCATAAGTTCATAAAGGGACTGCATGAGATACGCAAGGAGACCTTCCAACCTCATATCATTCAGGCGAGCTGGCGGGAGAGCGGGATACTGCCATTTCAACCAAAGTTGGTGCTTAATAAACTTGGGCTTCGAGAACCAACCCCTGAGCTTACAATTATTGACGGAGACCGGATACGAGACACCTTCTACGAACCCCCGATGGATACACAGGCAAATAACAGTGAGATATCTCAAGATGCGACCTCTTCCTCGTCCAGGAATGGTGGTGGTAAGATACAGCCAGGGGTTGGTAGTAAGATGCAGCGCCCTACCACCCCCCCACCACCACCCCCCCTACAACATCGCACTCCTTTGACTATTCGCTCTCTACGCAAGCAGATAGATATTGCATCTCTATCTAATATCAATACACCAACGCGTAAGGTGTTCCGGGCGGCTCTCAACTTCGCAGAAATCAATAGGGTCAACACCCAAATGCTCGATAAATATCATAAAGAACAACAACAAAAAAAGCCTTCTCAATTCAAATTAGCACCTAAATCGTACTTACAATCGCTTGGTATAATATATTCTAGGGATACTAAACGTCAAATTGAAGCCAAAAAGGCCAAACTCATCAAGGAATGGTGGAAAAATAACCAATCACCCTATCTCAACTCATTGTTTGGTGATGAGGCTCCAACTGAACCTCAACTTGAGGCTCTCCGCCGCGCATCTAATAATATCACAGAGCTTCCAGATGAGGCTCTATTTTATATAGATGACGGCTCAAACCGCTAAATTTAAATAACTACGTTGGTGGTTGAGATATTTCATTTTGTATCTAATTATTTAATAATATTTGTGTTGAACTGCGATTTCATTTGAACTGCGAGTCACCCACGGTAAAATGAGTGGGTGACTCAGTAGGGGTATGGCCCCTGCGTGATCACGGGTAGTTATTACATAGTCGGCAAGGAGGAAGCCGGGGCTCGAACCCCTAGTATATAAAGAAAGCAGTCGGGTAAGCTGGATTATAATTACTCGGACAAGCTATTAGATATAACAAGGCTGTATTTATCTAATCTCTCGATAAAATATAAGAGTCACTGGGGACTTATGGGTAGGGACCTATGTACTCATGAAATGGGGGCTTATAAGCCAGACTTGTCAATATAAATCTGGCTCCTGGACCTTCGTAGCCCAAGAATCCCATTGAGTGCAACTCGTCTATTGCATAAGTTTTCTGGGGTCTCGGCCACCGTCGTCCAACGGAGGAACATGTATGTCAACCACTCATCTACGAAAATTTTCGCCTTTTCTACCATGTTGTCTAGAATATCGAGAATAAATTCGTCCCAGGCATCAGCAAGGCTTAGGTATCGACCAATAGCAGTTTCCGCCATTGATAACTCAAGACGGATATGACGGTTTATTGCGACCATGGAATTATGGACGCCTGGGTGATTTAGGTAGTTGAAAACACCGATGACGGCCCTGATAAAGTTGAGCGCCTTTTTAGGGTCTCCTAGATCATTAGCATAGCCCAACATTTTGTCGTTATCGACAAGTGCTTCATTTCTCCATGCCTTTAGAAATAATTCAATGATTAGCCACTGGTATGTTTTGTGAAATCACTGTAAGCTAAAATAAACTTACCCGGGCCTTTACGGCATTGATGTCTGCAAACAAAATCCAAAAGTTGGCAGTGTTGTCATCACTCCCAAATGCATTCATAATACGATGAGCCGGAATTGGCGATGTTGAGCCACCATCGAAGGCAGCAGGCTGGGGGGTTTTGACATTTTTTCGCAGCTGAGAATAGAACATGCAATCGTTTATAGGCTCAAAACGGGCGTCTTTCCCTGACATCAGCTTTCCCTTACTGCCTAGAGTAAAGAATTGAGTGATAGTTTGTAATTCAATGATATGTTCTGCTAATATCAATCCTTAGCATTTCCAGTTCGAAGACACCTAACAAGGGGATATAGGGGAAGACTTACAAGCATACATCCGGCCTGTAGCACTTTTCTGGTAGCCTAGGTTTGGATTTCCACAATCGGGGATATCCGTGTAGTCCATCTCCCGAAAATATATTTCGTTACCCTCACCAAACTCCCCAACTGATGGGTAAGGAAGGCTTGTAATGGTGAAACCGGGATTTCCTCCTGTATCGCACATAACAGAGTAGCGCCTATCCTTTGACCCGCCGCGCTTCTCTAGGCCTCCAACTTCAGATGAGCGGCCAGCGAGATTGGGTGTGTCAGAAACAATGGCAGTGCTTTCGGGGCGCTTCTCCGAACTAAGAGAGCTGCGGATGAACTCATCATTACCTCCAGGGCAATATTCAGGAAGTTCTTTACATATCTCAAACAAACAATCGCAAGGCGGTTCGTCCGAAAGCCTGATATTAAATGAATCCGCCGAGCACAGTATCCTCAGTATCGCATCGGTAGGGCCCTCTACCTTCCAGTCCGACCACCCACGAATAAAAGTTCTGAATCAGTCGATGTTGAGAAAAGGAAAGTACCCACCCTTGGCCATAACATCATCCCAAATCGTCGCTTGCTTCATCTGGAGTTTCATAAAAACATCAGCGACTAACAGAGCAGATACTATGACAGCCATATACTCAAGACCCTTATCTGACACCGAATTTCCTGGGATGTGAGGCGGGGTAGATAGTGACTTCATCTCGAACGGATCTTCGACGGGACATGTTGCGTTAGCCACAAACACATCGAGGATTTCTTCGAAATAGGTGAGTTCGGGGTTGGGCTCTCCCTCAACCTCCCTTTCATGATACAACGATGGATTACAACAGATCGCTGAAGCTCCACCATGTTTTTTACAGTCGACAAGACTCGTATCCATCCCCAAACGGATCATTTGTGCAGGACAGGTTGCGCTGCAGTGAAGCTCATCATACCCTAGCGCTTCAACCCCGCCCGAATAAGCATATGAGATGCATGATTCCCACGAGCCCTTAACATCCCGAGAACCATAGCAAAGCTTCCTTTGTTCATAGCCAAGTGAAGTCGGGAATTTGGGACCATGCCTCCAGTTCTGGTTGCACACTGCACCTCCGCTTCCGCTTAAGGATTCGGCCAAGGTTTGATCTTTGTGTTAGTTGACATAAGGGCAGCTCCCGGAGTCACAGTCGGGAAATTTAGACCATTCGAGTGCAGAATAAAGTTCCATGCTGTCCATGTCTTGTTTGCAGCAAGCGGCTTGATATCCTCTGTTATTACAATATCTTGAATTTGACCCTATCTCAGTCATTCCGGACGGGCAGTTGTTGCTGCATTTACCATTGTTGTGGTCGTACCATCCGCATTGCGGGATATCCCAATCAGTCGGGCAACACCAACTGTGGATTCCTTTCGCACAGCCTGTCTAGTCGTACATAGCTTCGTTGTCTCTGGCATCGAAGTCAGAGCGGCGCACCAAGGCATACCCACTGGGACAGGGCTCCCCGCAGCCGGTCCATTTGCATTGCTTGATAGTCTCTCGAATCGTAACCACAGGGCCGTCCTCCCCTTCGACGGTTTTTCTAGAGCCAAATGCGCGATTTGCTGACTTCCCGAGTGCCCGGCTATATTTCCCTTCAAAGGTGTCATGGGTAACTGCCCAAACCATAACCCCACCTAGGCACCTTTCTCGAGCATATGCAGTCCGCATCGCTAAGGTCTGTTCATCGTCGTACGTAACCCATTGGTCATCCCACGAAACGATTTTAACCATGGCATCCTTCTCAAGCGATGGTTTCAAACCTTTCTCCTCGATAATTTCGTCAATTTCGCTATTCATGAGTATACCTACTTCTCTACTACAACGTCCAGGATTGGCCTCTGAGGCAAATATACAGCCCGGTTCCCTGTAGATTCACTCACGTCAGAAAGAAATAATCTCATTATTCTTACCACGAATCCGTTAAGAATCATTTATAATGGAACTTACGTGCAGCTTGTACTTTCTACTGTGAAAGCTCGGCCGTAGAATGCGAGTCCAAGAACTACTTTCTCGGGGCTGATATCGTTACGCCAGATAAGCTCAAGTGCCTTCTCGACTTCCGTCATATTAGTATGAGCGTTAAGAAAATTCCCGGTCCACTTATTTCCTATCGACAATGTGAGCTGATTATATAATTTATCGCTTAAAGATAGTATAGATTAGCTCATCTCCGATACATACCTTGATCCCACCTTCCATAAAGATCGTACGACATCATATTAAAGTAATCCACGCTTGGCGCAAGCTTCTTCAGATCAAAATGTTGAAGATACCAGTAGGAGGCTGGCAGTGTAATGCTAAGGTGGTCCCTACCACCAGTCCCTTTCAGCGCATTTTTAAGATTGGCCATAAACTTTGGGAAATTCTCAAAGTCATCTGGCCGGCCACTTCTATCTTCGGCTGCAGGGTATTCCCAATCTAGGTCAACTCCATCAAAGTTATAAGCAGCAAGGAAAGAAGTGAGAGACTTGAAGAACTTTTTCTGGTTTTCTTCAGATCGAGAAAGATCAGAGAAGAGGGTGGCTGTCGGACCAGGATCATTGAAGCTCCATCCGCCAAGGGCAATATTAACCTTGAGATCAGGATCTTGTTCTTTTAAATCAGTGAGACGGGTATAAAGTTGGCCTTCATCTGACTGGACTAGGGTAATCTCAAAGGTAGTTGGATCAATTGACGCGAATGCGTAATTGAGGTGAGTGTAAACACCAGAAGGGATCTGCTCGGGCCAGAAATCGTTACAGGCTCGTCTAGGGGACCAGCCTTCATAGTATCCCACCACTCGATGAAGAACTTTATTAGTTGGACAGGATGGAACTTTAACCTTTTTGTCTCCTACTCGACTCTGTTAGCATCAAAAAGAAATCAATTCTGGTTAGATAAACGTAGATGTGGAAAGGAAATCAAAGCACATCAGCCATTCAAAAATTAAGATACCACTAGTATCGTCCGTTATATGATTGGGGCTTCAGTAAATCGCAATTCTTACCACAAAAGTCCTTCGTCGTGCCACAGAACCCGTACCTTAAGGAGTCAGCAAGTTTCAGAGCGGGCAGGATGCGCCAACTTACTTACTACAGCAAACATTGAGTGGGCACTTTATCGACTTTACATATTTCGACCCAAAACCACCCGGGTCACATTCTGCCTTGCGATCGCAGGTGGACAAGCAGTTTTCCTGGCCACAGTCTAGTTATAAGATAGTCAGCAGATAGAGCCAGCACCCTATTAATCGCGAGCGCTAAAAACCATACAGTTGGGGCCATATCCGCATGATCCATACTTGGAACAGCATCCCTCTTTACAGTGCTTGTTCTCATCACATTCAATAGCGGTCGCGCTAACATAGTCGCACATGTCGATGCAAATCTCTAGAGACTTTATTGGACATGTTAGCCCAGCCGACGCGGGCCATAGACGGAAAAATGTGTGCGCACACAAAATCTATCACCAATTCCACAGAATCCATCCCTAAAATGAGTGGTTAGTAAAACTGAGCACAAGGTTGGTAGTATCTAGAGGAATATAGGGCCGTTTCTCGTTTTATTTGCACAAACTTACTTGGAACAGCAACCAGTCAAACAAGGGTTTACTTTGCTACATTTTTCAGCGCTGGCAAAGAGAGCAAGTAACGAGAAGAGAATGAAAAGAAAGGGCAGAAAGCGAGGTCTCGCTCTATACTGATGTTGGCTCATACTGAAAGGTCTTCGCTCGCCGCAGATATCGTGGTGTTGAGGTGAATAATTAGAGCGATAGGAAACGGGGGAAGTAGACGGCCATCTATCTATCCCTCCGTCTTCCTCCAGCTGCGGCTCTTACCCCCGACCAGCTCCCACGGCTTTCTCGGTTTTCCTTCCGCCCTCATTTCAGCGGGACAAGGGGTAGGGCCAGGTCCCCAGCTACCCACTTGCAGGCATGCTGGAATAGTGAGGTAGTATCCAGATTTCGAAATCCAAAGCCCGATGCGCAGTTTTCCTGGGCGCGTTGGATCAGTGAGTCAGTTGATGCAATGATACCTAATATTGCAACTTGATTCATTAACCAGGCCTGGTGCTTCATCTCCGGAGGAAGCACAGTGCAAGGGTGATGTGATTTGACAGGGTGTATAGAGGAGGTTCCTGCATCTTGAAGCCTCTGTCGTATCTGCGAGCCCTGGACCCCAGCAACTGTACCCTGTCGTATGGTCTAGATTCCAGCCCTAGATCGACGCATGTTGAAGCCCGGAGGACGGGTGATCGACGGGACTGGCTGGAATAGCGAAACAGCAAGGGCGGCGGAACAGCTCAGAAAAGCTAGCGTCATGGTTTTTGTTTTTGTTCACTCTTGTCCATAGTTACGCCGTAACTGACTGGGTAAAACTGACTAGGTACGGCGTAGTCAACTGCAGAGGTAGGTATACGCCAGACTATTATTGCCGCATACCCGCTGTACCTGTTTGTGTACTCATTCTCAGTTTGCTTCAGGTGTGTTAAAGTAACGAAGTGAGGACGAAGCTTGGAGTTGTTGAAAAATGTAAGTTAAGCTTAAGCAGGTGTATTAGTCTACGGCGGACTGTGGGGAGCATCGGGTCAAAATTCGTTTTTTTACCAAATTACATAGGGACACGCAGAAACGAAAGGGCCACGTCGGTCAGGTGACTCCATTACTAATATCATTATCTATTCTTATTGGCTAGAAAGATTGAATGGAGGCGGATTATCTATTATCCGATGATCATTTGATGTATTATTAAGCATTCTATTCAATAAGGTCGATATCAAGCTCGGTTCAATGCTCGATATCAGGCCGGTTCAATGCTCGATATCAAGCCGGTTCAATGCTCGATATCAGGCCGGTTCAATGCTCGATATCAGGCCAATTTGATGCTCGATATCAGGCCGGTTCAATGCTCGATATCAGGTCAATTTGATGCTCGATATCAGGCCAATTGATGCTCTGTTTGGTGCTTGATTGAATGTTTGATATTGGGGTCATCAAGCACCGAACCGAGCTTGATATCAAGCATTGAACCGGTCTGATATCGAGCATCAATTTGGCCTGATATCAAGCATTGAACTGAGCCTGATATCGAGCATCAAATTGGCCTGATATCGAGCATTGAACCGGCCTGATATCGAGCATTGAACCGGCTTGATATCGAGCCCGATGCTCAACCGGAGTAATATATTTCCGGTAAACTGCCGACTCATCCTATAATTGATTACCTAATATAATACTTTGCTTATATAATATTTCAATTACGTAAGTAAGTATGATTATTAAGGTAATCCTAGTACTTTAATTGGTGGTCCTATTACTAATATACTCTTTTCTATTGGTTTATATAATATAGGCTTACTAATCATTATATAGTGATATTATTGGTTCATACTCTAAATATAACGATATAATTGGCGACGTGGTAGTATATCATTACAGTAACAAAACGAATTTTGACCCGATGCTCCCTATAGTCCGCCGTATAGTCATCATCCCGCCCGCGCGCTTAAGGAATCAACATTAACCTCCTCCCTTGACATTGATACCACCACGTCAACTGGAGCCTATGGCTGAATACCCCGTAACTATGTCAGCCAGCTGCTTGAGGAAGTCTAACAAGCCCTCGGATGCTCCGTCCAATAAGTCCTGGATTCTATCTAACTTGAGCCAACTTACCCACTATGCATGACACATATTTAGCAGTACTATGTGGGTGTGGTTGTACTCCGCACATGGTAAGTGTATGCAGGGGATATGTCTGAGGTAGGATAGTTTTACTACCCTGGCTCCTCATTTCTGCGCCTCCCTTGGAGTGGTACTCGAGGTTAGACCCCGGCGGCTCTAAAATTGAGCCTCCGTGGTTTCCCCTGATCAAAAACCCCGAGCCCCGATGAACAGCCCTGGAGGCTCTGGGCTCGAATCCAATAATGGGTTTCGTTTACCACCCTTGTTTCTCGGCGCCCTTGTGACCCATTCGCTTGAGCCTTGTGCATATTCCTATTCCGGCTCAGAGCGGTTGCCGCATTCTAGTCTTTCCTGTATCCTTGCCCTGGCTACAAGGAGGCTTGAATGGCAGTCCGCGGAGTAACTCGACCATGGGCGCCTTCACAGGTTCCTTTCATATCACAGCCCACTGCCTTTCCCAAATTTCTTCTCTTCGACAAGAAAATTTTCGACCACATTTGAGGTTCGCTATCTAGTTATCTCTTGCAGAATGGGGTGTCTCCTCGCACCTAGGCGGCGCGGAAACCTCGTGTATACCGCTCTCTACCTTTTACTTCTTGCCTTTCTGCTTGTCCCTGCGCTCGCCTTTGGGCGTAACGCACACCATAGATATTTGGATTTTTATGCCGCTCGAAGCCAGTCGTTAAAATCCTAATCATCTCTAACGGCATCCGCTTCCAGCTCGAACGATGCTGAGAAGCTGATTCAAAGAGTAAAGGATGCCCTTAGAGTCGTTAACAAAGGCCGCATAGATAACCCACACTTCAACAAATATGAGTTTAAGCCTGTCTCAGCCGCCTTAAAGACCAGTAGATACCAGGACCTGCCTTCCCTTTTTACGTTGGCCGATGCTATCTTTGACAAAAATCCTTCCCATTATGCCCTTACGGATCGTTCCGCTGCCTCCAAGGCCATAGCTGCAAAAGACTTTGCATACTCTGTACCCCAAGAGCTAGCTGAGGCTGCTAAGCTCGTTGCGGAATCCTCCCCTCCGAGCCGTTTATCGAACGAGCCTAGCCAAGTGGCCGCCCGGGTTCAAGAAAAGTACAAATTGCAGGTTAATGACACCAACACTCCTCCTCAGGCCCATATTCACCCCAACGGACTGGATGGCTATATTGAGCCAGTGGACGACATACAGATGCCCCTTATGTCCAGCAACTCGTCAGCTATCGATAAGCGAGCCGCAAGGAACTTTTGGATGGCTGATTTACCTCAGCGAGGAGCGAGTCCATTTGCCCCTGCTGGCTACAAGGTGAAGCCCCTTGATCCTTTCTAGGACCCTCTAAGCTTTTAATTTCTCTACGAAACTTGCTGACTCTTTAATGTTTGGGGCGCAGGTTTGGAGGAATGTTAGAGACTATGGCGCGAAAGGTTGGTGTTATATGTTTCCCACCCCCTTTCTTTAGACTTTACAACTTATGATTACATCTACAGGTGACGGGGTGACAGATGACACTGCTGCAATAAACCGTGCGGTATCTGATGGCAACCGATGCGGAGACAACTGCGGATCCAGTACCATCTATCCAGCGGTAGTTTATTTCCCTCCAGGAACATACCTCGTTAGCACCTCTATTATCCAATACTACAATACCCAATTCCTCGGAGATGTAAGAGCACCACCTTATCCCTGATGACAAAATATATTCTAAACAAGCTTATAGCCTTATGACTATCCTACTATCCTTGCTGCATCGAGCTTTGTAGGATTAGGAGTTTTTAGCTCCAATGTTTATATCGAAGGTGGTAATGGAAGTGAATGGTACGTCGTTTTCTGGCCGATTTAATAATATTGACCCCCGCTAAAACAAACTTGAAATATGAATAGGTATCTTAATACGAATAATTTCTTACGGAGCATTAAAAATTTTAGAATGGATATTAGGCGTACAGACCCCAATGCCTATATTAGTGGGATTCATTGGCAAGTGGCTCAAGCAACATCCCTTGAGAATATTGAGTTTTACATGATGAATGACGACAAGACTACTCAACAGGTAAGGAGCTGTGTCCCTTTTCAAGGTGATGTAAATGTCTCCTGATAAGGTCTTATACAGGGTATATACATGGAAAACGGCAGTGGCGGATTCCTCACTAATTTGACATTCGTCGGCGGAAATTTCGGGTAAGTACTTTTATCTTTAGCCTACATAGGATCAGGCGAAGAATCACCCGCGTGGTTTCAAGCGTCGACCTTAGTTAGCCTTGTGCGAAGCACACATTCATTTACCTTGATCAAGTATTGACAATTTCTTCTCAAGGGCATACTTTGGAAACCAACAATTTACAACATCGCATCTGATATTTGTGAACTGCAAAACAGCATTGCAGGTCCACTGGGACTGGGCTTGGACCATGCACGATGTCGTTATCGAGTCATGTAAGACCGGAATTATAGTCACTGGCGGAGTAAGTCTTGTTCCCCATTTTCCATTCTATTGTCTCTGCCGTGGCCTCGTCCAATCTAGTAAACGTACGGATTTGGTTTTCAGGTTAGTCTGGCAGCTGTGTTAACTGTGATATCAGGCAGGGGGCACTGGAAGCACCGGCCAGTCAGTGGGTTCTCTTACTCTCGTGGATTCCCTGATTGCGAACACGCCTCTTGGAATCAGCACATCGTTATACGGAGAGAACTCGACATCATTCCTAATTCAAAATACTGGATTCTTCAACGTGAAAACAGCTATTATTGATACCTCAAAAGGCAGAGTACTGCTAAATGGCGGTGATGAGGTTCTGGTTGACTCCTGGGGGTTCGGACTACTGGTGAATTCTACTGAGCCTAGTAGATTTATTAACGGTGCTAATGTTCCGGTAATGAATCGGACTGATATGCTACTAGCAAGTAGTGGCTACCACCGTCCTAATTTTTTCACTCGGCGCCGTCCAAAGTATCTAGATATTGGTCAAAGCCAAATACTTGATGTCAAAGCATTAGGGGCAAAGGGAGATGGCAAGTCAGATGATACTGCTGTCCTCAATAGCATCTTATCTCGGGCTGCTAATATGTCTTCAATTGTATATTTTCCTTTCGGAGTCTATATCATTAAGGATACTCTCCAGGTCCCTATTGGATCAAGGATTATTGGCCAGGCTTGGCCTCAGATCATGGCTACAGGTCCTAAATTTGAAGATGAGTTACGCCCTGAGGTTGCAGTTCAGGTTGCCCAGCCTGGTGAAGCTGGCACCATTGAGATTCAAGACATGATGTTCACTGTATCTGGCGCAACAGCCGGTGCGATCTTGATGGAATGGAACGCCCGCGAGACAACAAGAGGCTCAGCCGCAATCTGGGGTATGTCTGTTCTTTTTTTTTTTTACTTTATCATTTTGACTAACTCTTTCTGCAGACTCTCACTTCCGAGTCGGTGGAGCTATCGGTTCCAAGCTTCAACGTGGGGATTGCCCGAAATCCTCTGGTACAGTCAAGGCAGGCTGCAAGGCAGCTTCACTTCTCTTGCATATGACGCCGAAATCATCAGCTTATATGGAGAATATCTGGGCCTGGGTCGCGGATCATGACTTAGATATCGTCTCACAGGATCAGATTGATATCTATTCCGGCCGTGGAATTCTTATTGAAAGTCAGGGGCCAACCTGGCTATATGGAACATCTTCCGAGCATAACGTCTTATATCAATATCAAACCTCGGGCGCTAAAAACCTTCTAATGGCGATGATTCAGACTGAATCCCCATATTTTCAGCCAGTACCCAAGGCGCCCAAGCCGTTCAATGCAGGCCTTTTCCCTGACGATCCGACCTTCAAACATTGCCCAGCCTCTTCAAAAACTTGCGCATTCTCATCAGCCCTCCGTATTGTGGATAGCTCATCAATTTATTCGCTAGGCTCAGGTAAGACTATATTTATTATGGTGATATTAACTTGCTAATATACTTATGTAGGCCTATACAGCTGGTTCTCAGATTACCGGCAGGATTGTTTGAAAACAGAAAACTGTCAAGATCGTGCAGTCGAAATTATCGAAAGTTCGGATATTTGGCTTTATAATATTGTCACCAAAGCCACGTTAGAAATGGTGACACCACACGGAACGAAGCCAACGTACGCGCGGGACAATAAGAACGGCTTCTTATCATCTATCTTAGCCTGGGTGAGAGACAAGAATACCACAGTTATCGGTGAACGCGATTTCCCTGGCTTTCAGCTTTATGATGGCAAGCCGCCCGAGGGTCTCACCCCTACTTGTACGAATGCAGTCGCGCAGCGGATTGTTTGCCATCCACTTCTACTAGAGTGGCAAAGCCCATCGTATCACGGGATCCTTGAGTCAAAGGAAATTACCGATTCTGTGTGCGATAAAGGATGTGGTGAAAGCTTAAAGAGTTGGTATGATACCGTCTCTCTTGCATGCTTAGGGCAGAGAATCACCGGTGCCCCTCCTACGATTCTAGGAGGCTACATATACCAAGGATATAACGAAACTTGTCTGTTGGATAAAGACTCGGGGAAATACTGCAATGGTGTGTAGTAACAACCCAGAAACATAACAATGGGGTGTGAACGCTAACCTTCGCCCTCTAGATGTGATTTCCGAGTTTACTGAAGTTACAGACGCTTACGACATGCCCACAAATGAGCTATGCTCATACTGCTATATTACTCGGCTAACGATGATGCAGTCAAGCTCTTATTCGGTTTATAACAAAATATTTCAAGAATCCTTGGAGGAGGCTCAAAGTCGGTGTGACTTCACAGGCCCTATTGACATTCCTCCACCCCCAGTCCTCGAGAAACCGGATCCGCCCCCAATGTGCCTTTCAGGAAACAAGCATTTAATCAGAAAATGGGACAGCTGTGACTCAATCGCCACCAAGAATAGCGTTGCGTCTGCAGCCATCTTCACGTTAAACTCCGACGTGTTTTTCGGCTGCGATGTCTTATCCTTAAGCATTGGCAAAGAGCTGTGTTTGCCGTTGAACTGCAGCAGCACCTACGATTTAGCCGGGAATGATACCTGTGAATCAATTGAGGACGCCAACAATCTCCGGAGAGGAAAACTCAGGGCTTTCAATCCTTGGATCAGCTTTGGCTGCACTAACCTCCAGGTTTCAAGCGCGGTGTACGGGAGCGTCTTGTGCCTGGCTCCGCAAGCAGGCATATATACCCCAACCGTAGGTCTTCCAGGTGCATCACCAACATCTCCTAATGACGGGTATTCGAAAGTATCTATACCGCCACCAGCCAACTCTACGGTTGCTGAAGGTACGACTCTTAACTGCGGTAAATGGCATATAGTCACTGAAGAAGATACATGTCCCCGTGTCTGTGGTGAAGCGTCGATCCCGTCAAACCTGTTCTTGACAGTGGACCCGTCGCTGTCTAAGGCAGAATGCGATCGGGAACTTATTGTCGGAGTCGTCTATTGTGTTGCGCCGACGTATGGCTGGGACCGGAGTAGTACAGTCACTAGCGAAGCGCCCATAATAGCGACTGCTGATTCACGGAGTGGTAGTGCTACAGAGGCTATAAGAGCGGGGACTACGGCTAATTGAAGAGGGTGGATGATTGGGAGCTACTGTATCAAACGTTGCACTGTCGTAACGGTTGGTGATATCTTCTTTAGTTTATCTTAATATACTAATTTATCCCCCTGTGTTTATAGCTAAAGTCTCTAAATAGCCTCATTGGTTTATTAGTATTTACATGGTTGTGGGAGGATACAAAAAGATGCTGTCAATCTAGGAAGCTCAGATTCATTTCCCCTTCATATACCGGGAACCAGTCGTCCCCCAACCCCAAATTTGGATACCAGTGTGGACATTCATGCTCCATTTCAACGCAAGCATGTAGAGTCCCTAGCCACAAGATACCAGCCTTCATCCAGCCGGGGTAGTGGCACGGCGGAGAATAGCGCGCTGCCCCTGGAGGATTGGGATCAGGGGGTTCATAACATCTCTCGACTGCTTTCACATACGGTATTGGCGGCTTAGGACCCTTGCGTCTAGGGCGGTTAAAGAGCCGTATAGACTCAGAGGCGTCATCAGAGGCATAATTGACGATAGAGTACATCGCCTCCTCGTCGATTACAAGGCAGATATCCCAACGGGCACCCCGAGAGAACTCCTCAAAGGCGCCCTCGTTAAATAGGTCAGTGGCGGCAGTAGAATAGTCGGCAAATATGTCGCGGACTTGGTCGAGTGAGAGGCCATCGTAGAGGGAAGCATCATCCATGTACCAGAGCCGTGGAGCAGTCCATTTTCCACCCGCAATACCGCTTGGAGATGAGTTGTTTGCATAATCTTGGAGCTCGGTAGTAACTGAGTCCCAAACAGCATTCGATTCGGGTGTATAGACGGTTCGATAGACGATGAATCCCCATGGCTGCACTTCTGGGTCTGATGCCGCCATTACGGGAGTGTCAACCAGGAGGTATGGTACTGGTGTCAAGTTATTAGCTAGAAGATGAATCATGGCTGATATCACTTACTCGAAGTCCTAAACAACGCCTTGCGGTGGCTGTTGAAGCGACATCATGAGAATGTGGTGTTATCCAGGCAGCAGCCCTTCCTATCCCTCCATCTATCCAGTCGTTAATTGTTGTCCCCCTGTATATCTGTTGCATCCGGTCGGTTGTTATCCCCCTGGTCGGAGGCTCAAGGCAACCCCAACAGCCACAACAAGCGTAAACTTATGCTTAAACTGCCACTGTGCCACTGCGACTGGCGACAAAGACAAGAAAAGGCACTGCCACAGCTCGTGTTCTCGGTGATAGAAACACGAGAAAAAGCGGGCTTGGTGGTTGAACCGTTGGTGAAAGCGCGCGGTTGGCGGGGCTGAAGGATCCTACTTAAAGCCACAAGTCCCCCTCGTCGGCTTCGATTTACCTGCTTATCCTGCTCGTTCACGATACACACCGATAGCTACTCAGTATCAATTCTATAGCGGGCGATAGCTCGTTCATTCTTCACCATGGTAGGATATCTACCACCGGGTTGTATGTTGTGATTCCCATCTAATCGATACTAGGACTATGACTGACTCCTTATTTTATAGAATATGGCTATCCGCCGTAATAATAGAGCGGCGCGCCTCCTTAGGGCTATCCTCCTTAGGGCCAACCGCCGTATGGCTAGTATCCTCTGTAGGGCTAGTACCCGCCGTAATAAGGATAGTATCCTCCTTAGGGACAGTTAGGAGTACCGCCTACATAGGGATAGTACTACTCGCTGTAGGGCTAGCACCCTCTACTAGGCGGCGCGTAAGCATAATACTACGCACCGCAGGGATAGCCGCCTTAGGGTTAATATCCTCCCTAGGGCGGCTATCCTCCTCCTTAGGGATAGTATGGCGCACCTTCGCTGGGAGGAGCTCCACCTTACGGACACCCGCAGGGACCTCCGTAGAGACAATATCCTCCTAACTAGGGATATCCTCCTCCTTAGCAAGGCTATCCGCTATAGGGCTACCCTTTATAGGGTTATCCTCCCTAGCTAGGGTATAGTGCACCTCCCGCCGGGCCTCCCGCCTAGCTATCTCCCGGCTATATGCCTGGCTAGATGGCCTAGGGAAACATAAGTAAGGAAGTTGATGCCCTCCGCAAGGCTATAAAGGGCTTTGGAACCAACGAACTTACCCTAATTAAAGTCTTTGCAAAACCTAATGCCCTTCAAATAGCTCTAATCAACTATATCTATAATACTTGCTATAAGCGTAACCTAGAAAAGGATATTAAAAAGAAATATGGCGGGAAACTCGAAACTATTATACTAGCTCTCGTCCATGGGCCTCTGATGCAAGACGTTTATATAGTTAATAAAGCTCTTAAGGGTGCCGGAACTAATAAGAAACTCCTTAATAATATCCTTGTATCCCGATCTAACGCCGATATTAACGCTATTAAAGCCGCCTATAAGAAGATATTTGGCCGAACCCTTAAGTCTAATATACGCGACGACCTATCTATAATAATAGAATAACTCTTTAACGTAATTATAGCCGCTACCTATATTAAAGAAAACACTTTCTTTAACCAATACTAGTACGACAAAGATGTGGTATAGCTCTATGGTACAATAGGCGGAAATATAGGCGTCCTTAAGAATACTATTTAGTAAATACTTATATAGCGATTAGATCCCCAAATCTATATATTAAGTAAGGACTTTAATAAGAAGCACGGTACGGCGTTAAGCGCCTAGATAATAAGCTGTTTCTTGGGTTATATTGGGGCTACGTTAGTATATATGATTAGTGTTACAGACCTTTTGCGGCGTAGCCTCAAGATATATACTCATTGAATAAAACGCACGAAATAGAATAACTATATATTATATAACTAATAATCCAACGCGCTAAGAATAAGGATAGTCTAATAATAAACAAGAGATATTAGTCTAACGATAGACTATAGATAATAGTCTTAGAAATGGACTAAGGATATAGTCTAACGAAGGGACTAGAGAAAGCTATTAAGAATAGACTTCTAGAAGATATATATAAAGGATACTTATTTCTATAGAATTAAGAGTCTTATACTTATAATTAATAAAGTTACTAATTTAGTATATTACTTAGAGAAGACTAAAGATATTTATTTTTATTATTTTATATCTAAAGCCTATTATATATTCTCTAGTATAAGTTGGACTACCTTAGAACTAGTTATTTACTATTTTTAGATATTAGTTAGCTTAGTACTAATAATAGTATAATATACCTTAAGTATATCTTAAAGGTTCTATCCTTCTATCTTTATAATAAGCTTAAACCTCTAATAGCCTTTTAGTATTAAGGAGTAGACTGGGGACGGGTCGGTTCGGACCGAGTTTTTGGCCTATCTGTCACAAGCTGACGGCGCTCCTTGATTACCTAAAGGTGATCAGAGGTTCACACCTGCCGTAAGACAGAAGGTACGAAGGTCTTAAGGAAAGCTTGGGTTAGAAGTGAGTCATTATAGGAGACGGCTTAATACCAGGGTAAGATAGAATACTATAGTAAGACTATCCCTCAGTTCCAAGTGTGGCTTTAGTTAGTGCCTGGGTCGGATGAAGTGTCACAAGCTGACGGCGCTCCTTGATTACCTAAAGGTGATCAGAGGTTCACACCTGCCGTAAGACAGAAGGTACGAAGGTCTTAGGGAAAGCTTGGGTTAGAAGTGAGTCGTTGTAGGAGACGGCTCGGTACCAGGGCGAGATAGAATACTATAGCGAGACTATCCCTCAGTTCCAAGTGTGGCTTCAGTCAGTGCCTGGGTTAGATGAAGGCTGAAGGTCCTTGTGAGCAGTGAAGACAAAGTTGACCTGCGTCAATGGGCAAAGGGGTATTCGGTGAATATAGTATAAGACAACTGGAATGGTGCTTTGTATTGAGCAGTATGGTAAAACTGTAGCTGGTTTGATCGCGAGTATAAGACTCTTGATCCTGAGGTAATGAGCGTCTTTATATACAAGTCCTTGTATATCCTATTCTCCCGAGTCGCTTGGTCGCGCCGTCGACTCCGTCGACCTGGCGACTTATACTGGCTCTCCCTGCTCCCTCAGTGGCTCTAGTGAGTCGGGCGACTGGGCGAGTGGGACGTGGTTGTTCCGTTCCGTCTTGTCCGTCCAATGAGTGTATACTCTGGGGCTGCGCCGCAGGTGGTCTGTAACATCATCCCCTCCTTTCTTATTGAGTCGTCTCGACGAGTGCATAAATATCCATGAGTGTCCTCCCTTTGTGTTTTTAGTGTCTTCCTTCCTTTTCAGTGTCTCTCGTTATATACTAATCATGTCGTCCAAATCTAGTGATTCTTCTCTTAACAGGCATCGTCTTGCCGAACATATTGAACACTCTGGTGTCGTCATGGCCTCTCATTGTTCTTGTTGTGCTCATCTTCAAAAGGAGTGCGTTGTTTCTCCTGAGTCGAAGAAGTGCAGCGAGTGTACTCGTTCTAGCAAATGGTGTAACGCTAGTGACTTAACGTCGGATCTAGATTGGAACAAGCTCGTTTAAGCTACTGATCGCTTAGAGTGTGAAGAAGAGGAGACTCGTGCTCGGGTGTCAGAACTATTTGGTCGTCTTTCCCGCATTAAAAAACAACGGAAATTGCTTCGCTCCCATGCTGGCGAGTTCCTTTGCTCCGATGTGAAGACTGTGGAGGATCTGGAAGCCTTGGACGCTGAGAGGGAGTAGGCCTTGGCTGCTTAGGCTTCTCTGTCTGATGACCAGGCTTTCCTTTAGCAAGAGGCTCAGGATCTCTTCGCCCTGACTTTCGGTGCCCCTTCCTCCGGTGATTATTCTATTAATCAACTTCTTGAGGGCCTTCCTTCTCCTGGTTCTTTACCCGTTGGTAGAAATTCTTCACCAGGCGCTGCAAATGCTTCAGGTGCCTAGCGGGTTTATAAGTGTTTTCTGAGAAGTTATATCCTTTCTATTTAACCAAGTAGTGAGTTCGTCCGCTGATCACTTTCTTATTTAGGATCTTTTCGACTTTGTATTCTTTTTCTTGATTTTCTGGTTATATTTCTGGTTTGTATGGTTTAGCGTTTTAGGGTGCTTTTTCGAGTAATGAGACGTGAAACGTTAGGTATATTTGCATATGGTCTAGAAGTTAGAGTTTGTAATTAAGTTGTCCAATTTTTTCCAAAATCTTGAATAGTCCCAGTTTCTTATGGTCCAGTTTGTCGCTTGGTCTCAATGTTTTGATATTTCGTCAAAGTAAGAATACTTTTTCCCCCTTCTTAAAGTCTGGCGCTTCCACGTGCTATTAGTTATAGTAGTGTTTCATTCTATAGTTCAAGAATTCGAGATCTAACTATAGGTGTCTATAGAGTTCGCGCATTTGTTCTGCTGAAACCTCTGCTTCTAAGGCGTGTGTTTTACCTTCTCTTAGTGTTTTTATTATTTCTATTTCTCTTCTGTAATTTGCAAAGAAAGGTGTCATGCCTGTTAAGGCGTTCTTCGCTCCATTGTAGGCGAGCTGTGCCATTGGTAGTAGTGAAACCCAGTCATCCTATTCATAGTTGATGTAGTATCTCAGGTACTATTCCACTGTTTGGTTCATCCTTTTACTTTGTCCATCTATCTATAGGTGATATACCATCGAGGCTTTCTGTTTAATCCCTATTCTTTTAGTGAGTGTCGTCCAGAATTTATATATGAATCTTGTGTCTCTATCTGATATAATTTCGTCTGGTAATCCTTTATCTGCGAAGACATGTTATAATAGGATATATACTGTCTCCGGTGATGTGGTCTTTTCAATAAATGGTATAAAATAGGTATACTTCGTCAATCTGTCCGTGACTGTAAGTATCGAATTGTATTGAATGCCCATTTGTGGCTCTATTAACTTCAGTAGCTTGACTATAAAGTCCATCGCTATTGATTTCCATGCTGTTTCCTTATATAGTATAGGCTGTAGAAGTCCATATAGCGCGTGTCGTTCTGATTTGTTTCGTTGGCAAACTTCACACTCCTGGATATATTGTCTG